TGCTAAACCCATTTTTCGAGATCTGCAACGAAAAACATCATCTGGTGCAGGTCAATGCCCGGGACAAGTTTGACCGGACACCACTGCATTACGCTGTGGCGAATCTTTTGCCACGCGCGATCGATCAACTCTTTTATCGTGGTGCTGATCTGTCTGACTTCGTTTTCCCCACGGAGGCTCACTTCGTCGAGAGACTCGAACTGGCAAAGGACTATGAATTTTTTAATTTTAAACTGAGACTAGCAGCTGGTGCTCTGGCTGTCGCCGAACGCCTTGAGAAACAAGGCTATGAGCTGGACCAAAGCGACGCAATGACGATCGTAAAATTATTCACCAAGTATGGATTGTTCGAGAAATCATGGAATCTTGAAGAATCTTGGTACGAAAGTACTTGGTTTACGAGCAAAGCGAAAAATGTGAAGATAATTCCTAATAATGATCTGTCGCTCTACGACTTGATTCAATTGCGACCAAAAGAGGCGGAAAAACGAGTCGCACTCACAGACTATTTCCTTTTAGCGCACACGTTCCAACTGAGAAGTGGGCACCGAAAAAAATTTATCGAGGCTTGTGTTCTGTATCTGTGCGAAATATTATCGAGAAGATTTTTCCGACGATGGTCATTGTATCCCTTGTATGAGCTTATCCACTATCGACTACCAATTCTCTGCTGTGAGATGATCATCGACCAGCTGATGAGCAAAGATTTATATCATATTTGCGTGGCAGCTGCAAGCCAAAGCACGGCGTAGCATTTTTTCAGAATAGTTTGATGTTTGATGTTATTAAATTTTTCATGGATTTATAATATAAAATTATAAAAAGTAAATCAATTAAATTGTTTGAATGTCAGTACTTTTTTCTAAAATCTTTACGATTTTCCAACTTGAAAACGAATGACACTAAGCAAAAAAGTGAAAAGAATAAAAGATTTAAATCACAACTTACCAAAACAATTGTTAGAAAAACACATTTTTTTACCTTTTTCAATTGATATAACCCCTGAAAACGAATTGGAGGTCTAAACTTTTATGAAAACCCTTCTTTCACGTTGATGTATATTTTTTTTTTCAAAATTACCCATGTGTGTACCAAGGTACTATACATGGGTATTCTTCGGGTGACTAATGACTCTGACGCCTTGTGTCATTTACAACCTATATCTTTCTCTCTCTTTTGCAACTCTCGTTCGCTGCCGAGTCCTTCTTCGCTCGCGTCGAACAAAAATATATCCTGAAAGTAATTTCAGGGAACGGCTCTTACACTTCTGCGGTTATCGTGTGCGTACGAAGCTTCCACGCATCAGGAAATGAATATACACGCTAAGAATTCACGTGTGCGTGTTACAAACGAGTGATTTCGAAACATTTTCAAACTATCAACGTTAAAATATTTTTTTAATTTTATTGAACACTTTTATATTATCAAAGTAAAAATTATTTCGGTTTATTATGACATTATCGCATGAAATGTAAACAACATTCAAATGGGTTTTTCGAGTGCTTTTGGCGTATGACATTAAAAACATAAGTTTCTTTGATACTATGGCTACACGATATACTAAATATTTTAAATGATCAATACCAATGCAACTATTATTTACTATATCTTCAAGTACAAGAATAGAAATTTTCCTTTTCAATTTCGTTCGGTTCCCAACGAAATCGACTCTTTAATTTTCCGTTATCAAACTCATCATCTCCGCCGTATGATGGTATTCTGATGCAATAAAATGGTCCATATTATACTAACACCGTGTGCCACGCGCTGCAGCTCGTAATAAATGCAGCTATCGCAATTTGCGCGGTAATTTAGATTCACACGTGATGCGCAATGCTATGCAAAATTTTTCTCAGTGTCTACCTAGTATGAGTATGACAAAAAGCGATCGTATATTTTAATAAGAGTTAAACATTAAAAAAAAAATATTCCGATAGACTTCCACGTACAGCACCCTAATCCTGTAAATAGAAAAAAAAAGTTTCTACTTGAAGAGATATTGATGGACGTTTCATTTTTTATGTCTCCATTATATGAGTTTCAGCCTTACCCCTCGTATGTAATATACAATAAACGTGCTAGCCTGCGTCGTCCTGTCTCAGCAAGTTCGCGACTTTTCAAACGACGATGATCGCGTGTCTCGCGCGAAAAGTGCCTTTCAAGATTTGTCTCCCTCTGTCTTTCTCTCCTCTGTCTAACCGCGTGCTTGTGTGCGCGTATACATGTTATGAGCTTTGTGCGCACGACAGCTCTCAAAAGGCGTACACGTACAATAAATTATTCTAAAACAGAAATTCAAAGTAGCTCGTAATATATCGGCGAGTCGTTAATTCCGCGCGACTTATGTACGCGCGCAAAAAGTGCGTCGAAAAATTCATAAAAAATGAGTATCCATACAGCATTTACTTGGAAAAAGATCCGAGATTTCAACGCAGGCACTTATAGTACGCATTATACCCGCGAATACACAGACACACGTGAAAAAAAAATGTAACGGTGAATTGGGCTTCCGATGCATACAGCGGCAGGTAGCAGCTCTTCGGTGGCGAGCGATGCGCTGGAACGGAAGTTTCGCATCCGCTGCTATACACCTATACCTCGTTATAATATTGCCGCGCTGACTCTTGGTATATATATGCCTGCTGCTGCTGTTAATACGCACGCATCTCTTTTTCTTTCGTCCGCGAATGCACCGATGATAATGGCGTACGCGATTGCGGCAACGCGAACGATAAAGATGCATTTTGAAATATTTTTTTTCTTATAATAAAAAAAAAGGAGCTCCGTGCAAGCGGCTCCTATAATTCTCTGATAAGACGCCGGCGTATATATGGGATCATATTACTCTTCTATTGTATCTTATCTGTTTACTCGAGCGAGCCATCTCATCCTGCCGACTTTACAGCAGGTATAAAAGCAGTAGCGGCGGCCGCGCGTGTGCTAATCCTCGAGCGCAAATCCTCTATCCGCGCAAAGCAGCTATAGCGCACCAATTAACGTTTCGTCGATTTTACACACGCTCGGATGTAGATTTTTCATCGGGATATCGACGTATACAGAGATCCTCGTAACCGCGGCCTTTTCAATCTTTACCTATTGCGTATATTGCGTATATCGTAGTTTGAATTATAATTAACGTCGAATTTTCGTTCGAGATCGAACAATTTTTTTTTTTTTTACGCAACTTACTCGCGCACACGGAGTGAAAACCGGATGCAACGATTCTATGTGTAAGCGTGTATCCATCGCCCACACACGTACACGACGCAAAGGCTTTATTGAAAATCTACGATAAATCAGAAGTACGATGTATAGGATAATGCATTCGAGCCGTTGCTGCGTTGCTGCAGTAGTTCTATCATACATTATGTGTACTCGCGCACGCAGAGACAGACACACACACACACACGCATATGACACAAGCTTCACTGCGTGCGCGAAACGTATCATTTTCCTTTCCTCCTTTTCCTCGGTGGCTCTATGTACGACGGTGCGCGTTTTATACATATATACACGTATGTATATTTATATGTGTTATTGCGCGTAAATCGCAACGTCGCATTTCCACAAGGTGCACTTTTAAAACGCGCATAATGTATGTGCGTGCCCGTACGTACACGCGTACAGAACTCCATAGCGCGACTCGTTCATGCATAATTCATCATTTTACCTTTTCCGAGTATCGAGATGCGCGCGCGTAGGTAGACGACGAGCGTATCGCGCGCAAAGCTCCTTTTCCTTTTTTTCCCTTTTCTTTCGTTCTCTCTTTGCATGCGAGAGAGCGAGAGAGAGAGAGAGAGAGAGAGAGAGAGAGAGCTCAACAGTGCGTAGATATGTATATGAGACAAAATGTGTCTTCTTTCGCCCGTTCGGTTTGCGTTATAAGATATTTTGACGCGCGACGCTGCGCGTCTTTTCTCTGTATTGTTTTTTTTATAATAAGTATACGGTGAAGAAAACGAGATGAATATTGCGTTACATATTATCGTTTGAGCGGACAAAGATGAATTATTGAATGGCAGCTGGACAGCTCTGACATAATTTTTCAGAGAGTATACAGCTGAATGACAGGTAGCCTAGTACCGAGAAGAAACCAGCGTCTTTTTTTTCCGTTGTCTAATACCTCGAGCTCACAAGCGACTAAACATGTGTTCTCGAAGCTCGCGACCACTTCGCTCGCCTCATTTCTTTTTCTTTTTTTTTCTTTTTCCAAGCGAGAGAGAAAGTAAATTGGGTTGCGTGTATTTGTTATCGCATTACGTGTGTATAGCGCTTTATCGAGTGCTCCTATTGTTGACGTTTATGTACCAGGTTGCGCGGACTTTGAGTCTAACGCATGTACAGTAGATTGGATTGTATCTGTACAGTGTTTACCTTCGCTCTTTTTTTTTTTTTTGTAATCATATTTACTGCTCTATACGCGCGGACGGATGCGTTTTTATCGTTCGGTTCACGATACACGAACAACAACTCGCACACACACACAATCGTGTCGTTTTACGCGGCGTGCGGACGGAGCAAAGAAATTTACGAGGAGGACAAGAGAAAAAAAAATGAAATTGATATTTTTTATGGGCGCGCACATAGCGTTTTGTGTGGCTGTTGCTGCTGCTGCTGCTGCTGCTGCCCCAAAGGGCCGCACGAGCCTGCAGCAAGGGAAGCTTTGGTGTTTATAAATATAGTATCGCGGAGGCGGCCGCGGGGGACAAGAGTAAGCGTTATTTAAGTTTGTCGAGCGAGGTACTGCCGTGGAGCAAGGATATTAGCCAGTGTCATATTGATCCAACATAGCGATGAGTCATAAAAAAAAATAATAATACTCAACTGGTCCTTTTTTATAGCCTTTAACGCGTAACTGTTGTAATACAAGTAATAACGGTCTCGCTCGCTCTCTCACTAATTTTTTTTTCCGGAGAATTGCGCTTTTATTGAAAAAAAATACACCCATAAAGACCAATAAATATCACCTGACTCAACCCGAATTCTTTGTAATTTTACAGCTCTGCTGACGGCGCTACTGCTGCTGCTCGATTGCCGAACGAGTCATGGGGCACCGCAAGAGGCCAGCAACACCAACAACATCGGCGGCCGCAGCAACTCGTTGCCGCTCGACGATCTGCCGATCATCAGCGCCCCCGGCAACAGCATATACCGTCCGATCACGCCCGCGCCCAACTCGGCGACGGCCACGACGACCACGAGCACGACGATCTCGTCGCCGTCCACGTCCACGTCCACGTCCTCCTCTTACGTGTCTCAACGCGAGGCCTACTTCGACGGCTCGGCCAAGCTGCAGCTGCGCAGCTTCGTCTCGGTGCATCGACACAGCGGCCTGAGCTTCCGCACCTGCGAGCCCGGCCGACTGTTCGAGCAGAAGATCGAGCCCAATGACTCGATCGGGCTGCACGTCGACCACGAGGGTCTGGTCTTCATAGCCAGGGTGCAGGGGCGCAGACTCGAGGGCCGACTGAACGCCAAGCTGCTCGACAACGTCTGGCACAACGTCAATCTGTTCTTCAGGCTGGGCAATCTCACCCTCAGTGCTGCTGGTCACGCACAGGTAATGTGTATAACGACACGATCGAGAACAGGAGGCTTTCAGCGTCGCGCGAGTATTTTTGACGAGCAATGATATGAAACATCCTTGAAATTCAAGACTAAAATCGAGATTGAAATTTTTGTCTTTTGATGCGCTAACGAACTTTGATAATTATTCATTCGGGTCCTTGAAATACGAGGAACGCGGAAACAATCAAAATTTTTAATGTATTTTTTCTATAGCGAATATTACTATTTCATTTTATGTTTTATATAAAAATTTTCGCTGACTGTTAACTTGATTTTGGGAATCAAATACCAAAGAAAAATAAAAGGAAAAAGCCATTTAAATAGCAATCGTGGAGTATACTCAAAATTAAATCTTAAATCTTAAAGGTGAAATTCCTATGTTTCCGAGGCGTTTTCTTAGGTTTAAAACATCCCCTTACAAGTTTTATACATTTAAATTACTTTGAAAAAAAATAGAAAAAATACTCATCAAAATTGTCATTTTTTCCGATGTATCTGATATTAATGAATAAATAATGAATCAACGTCAATATGCGTCAATTGCCAAACATTTCTACTGCGATTTTAGGTTCGAATTTAAAATATATTTTTTATAGAATTGTTCATATCATAATTATTTCATTATCACCATGATGTTTTTATTGAACATAATATTCACGCTGTAGATACTGGCCAACGCGACCTACAATTCGGACATATTAACTCTGCCCGACGAGAGCGACGCCAACGGTACTCTGATGGTCGGCGAGGGATTCCGTGGATGCATACTCCAAGGGCCTGGTATACTCTTCAACGAATCCATCAATACAAATGCGGTTTTCGGCGAATGTCCACTCGACGCGCGAGGATGTGAGTATTTTTTATCCTCTCTTTCTTTATGTATATACCTTCCGTGACTTCTTTTTTTTTCCTGGTCATAAGTGCAAAGTACTAATGTACTTCGCAGATCGTACGTAACGTTCGTGCGGGAATTTTTTTTTTTCTTAAATTTTTTTCGTTGAAAACTCGATGGAAATTTCGTCCGCTCGCTTACACATACCTTCGTTTTACTTTTTGCGTTATAACGATGGTAACGTTTGAAGCAACCAGAAAAAGTTCGTATATATATAATATGAAATCGATATAAAACTTTCTCGCGCCGCGGCTATATTGTAGCGCAAGTTCATTCTCTCGATTACGCGCGTTTTGCAGAGTGCAGTCTGCGGAGATCGTTAAACTCGAGATTTCTCGCGTTTATGCGGTTGCGTCACGAAAGTAATTCCTTCAGTTTTTTTTTGTTCTAAAAAAGAAAGAATGTTGAGAAAAAAAATCATGCTATTTTTTTTATAAGTATTATCGTAGACCAAAGCACTGAGTAGAATTTTATTGATTGAAATTTTTATTACATAGTTTACGTAATTTGTTTTGTTTTTTTTTATTTGACAAGCACTGTGTTGTTGTTATTTGTGTGTCTTCTGCACCACACGTATATTACATCTCTATTTTCTTTATTTTTATTTTCTGCAAAAATATACGAGCTCCAATAAAATAGGCTAGTTTACGTAAAAAGTTCTACATATTCTACGACATCGTTCCGCGAACAAATCGATTGACAATCGATATACATTACATATTAGGAAAAGGAGAGAATGAGAGACAGAAAACAGAAACAAACAAACAAACAAACAAAAAAAAAGAGAAAGAAAAACAACGAACGAACCTTGCCCCACAGGTGGTCATCAAGGGAGCGGAACGAGCGGCATCGCGGCACTGACCCCGTCGCCGCCGACGACGACGACGACGACAACCGACTGGTGCGAAACGTATCCCTGCTTGAGGGGCGGCACCTGCATCTCGAGGCCGGAGCCAACTCGCTACGAGTGTCAATGCTATCCACGTTACTCCGGCAACATTTGCCAAATCGATAACGGTAGAGAGCCAGCAATTGTTGCATATAGTTATTGAGCGAAAGGAAAATAATTAATCGCACGATGTATACGAATACACACACACGTTCGCGCATACAAAATATAACACGTATATGTTTGATGTACATAAAAAAAAAACTCGTTTTCACCTCTATCGTCATCGTCATCGACGTCGTGTAATCGTCACAATTACGACAGCTGTTCGTACAGATTTTTTTTTGGGATGTGTATGTAATTTGTGCAACGTGACGAAAGTCCGATGATCGTATCCGTACACGCGACGATTTCATTCATTTATTTAAGTATATGTGTGTGTCGCTTGCCTTGTATACAAGTAGTCTTATAGTTATTAATATCGCACGACAGTAGCTCTTGTAGACGCTTATAACGTAGTTTATAGTCAACCTTAGCTTGGAATTTCCTTGAAACCCTCTCAGCACACTGCAACTCCTTAATCATTCATCGAAACACTATCGCATGCCTCGTTGTATTATGTAGCGGTGAAAATCGAATCGAAACGGTTGCTTTTATATATACGTCGAATACAATACGCGGCGATGAAAGTCCGTCAACGCCGTAAATAACGATCCGTCCATTCATTCGGTAGCAGTATTTTCTCTATATCGACGTGCTCATTAACACCTGGCGTACTTTTATTTTTATTTTATACGTACGTGCCGAGCCGGAGACAGACGTACAGGCGCGCACAATCTCGCGCACACACACAATTGCTATTTTATAATTCCGAAAAACTTGTATTATATACGCGGCGCGAAGAAGCGGAAGACGATCGATCTTCTCTCGGTTATTCCGCTGCAGATTGGCATTGAGCTATTGCCGCGGCTTGCGTATATATACAATACTGTATACAGCGCATTTACATTCGAGAGTTCATTGCTCCGTTCTCGCACGCGTTCGCTTACCTTATACCACTAGCTTCTCGGCTTACAGTATAATACACGTGCCCGTCTACGATAGAGAAAGAGAATTTCGATGCAACTCTAAACTATGCCAAACACGCGCGCTCCGCGTGTTATATAGAGCTTGGATTCAAGTTTGACTTCATTGAATACCTACTCTCCTGCATGTATTGGTAGTTTGTACTTTGCAACCTTACGTTATCGACTCGCACCATCGCATTATATTTTATTTGATTTTTTTTTTCCACTAAAAACCGAAACGATCTCGAATCTGTTCTAATTTGATTTTACTCCTCGTCCCCCCCGTGTGTGTCTCTCGACGCCACACTATGTATATAGGCTCGCCGTGTCTGATGACGAACCTGTGCCAGAACGGCGCCACCTGCCACGAGGACTCGCGCGGCGACTACAGCTGCCAGTGCGCCCCCGGCTGGACGGGTCGTCGCTGCGACCAGCCCGCCACGGGCAACAACAATCACAGGCCCGTCGTAAGCGGGCCCTGCGATCTGCGGCCCTGCCGCAACGAGGCCAACTGCTACGAGAGCCCGGATCGCGGCGACTACACGTGCAGCTGTCGGGCCGGCTTCACGGGGCGCAACTGCGAGATCGACATCGACGACTGCCAGCCGAATCCGTGCCGCAATCACGGCAACTGCACCGACCGCGTGAACGGCTTCAGCTGCAGATGCGATCGCACCGGCTACACGGGCCGCGTCTGCGAGATCGACATCGACGAGTGCGTCAACAATCCCTGCCTCAACAAGGGCACCTGCTACAACAATTACGGCGGCTACCAGTGCGCCTGCCAGGCCGGCTTCGAGGGGCCCAACTGCGAGCACCACGTCAACGAGTGCCTCTCGCATCCCTGCAAGAACGGCGGCAACTGCATCGACGAGGTGGGCGGCTATCGCTGCAACTGCACGGGCACGGGCTTCGCCGGCGAGCACTGCGAACTGCCGCTGCGCGCCCACAACTGCGACGGCTGCCCCTCCAACGGCGTCTGCGTGCGCAATCATCTGGGCCAGCTGCAGTGCGCCTGCAAGTCCGGCTACGTAGGCGCGCCGCCCAACTGCACCTTCAATCATTGCGCCAGCAATCCCTGCGACAACGGCGGCACCTGCACCAACTTCAAGGACAGATACGAGTGCCAGTGCACGCCCGAGTGGAAAGGTAAGACATCGAAGCGATCTTTTATTCATTCATTCTCTCATCGCGCGCAAATTTTGCTCTCTCTCTCTCTCTCTCTCTCTCTCATTTAAATCGTGTACATACTGTATAACCATACACGATAAGGACCGCACTGCCAGTCGGTGAAGCCGAACTGGTGTCCGATCTGTCATCACGGCGGCACGTGCGTCGACACGAAGCAGGGCCCGGCCTGCAGCTGCACGCGCTTCTGGACCGGCCTGGAGTGCAAGGAGCCGATCACTTGTCTCAGCCATCGGCCCTGCAAGCGAGCCAAAGAGTGCCGCGATTTAGTGAGTTGTTACTCGCTCGCGATCGACAAGGATCGCGTGCAACTACTTGATATTCTGGAAAAACGTGCCGCAATGATCGAAAATTGTTACTTACTTTGCATTGCCGAAACAAGCCCACGGGCTACTACTGCGTCTGCGAGTCCGGATGGACCGGGCCCGAGTGTTCCATCGACATCGACGAATGCATGAGCGAGCCGTGTCTCAACGGTGGCATCTGCATCGATCAGCTCGACAATTATTACTGTCAATGTCTCTCCGGCTATGCCGGTAAAAAATTGTGATAATTTGCGCTTGAGCCCCCGTTTAGATAGCGTAGTATAAGTATGAAAAAAAATAAAAGACCCAACGAGCTTGTACAGAAGTTTCACGATAAGACGACAAATCGCTCCTCAACTATAGATGCTAGTTTTTTTTTTTTTTTGTAAATAAAATCATCGTTGATCGCGAATCGTCCCATCGATCGAAAACTAACTCGCCGCTGTTTTTTGCGCACAGGTAAAAGCTGCCAGATCAACGTGGACGAGTGCGACTCGCAGCCGTGCCAGAACGGCGGCACGTGCCAGGATCGGGCCAAGGGCTACTCGTGCCTCTGCCCGGCCGAGTTCGCCGGCGACAACTGCGAGCTGCCACTGGACGGCTGCGCGCGCAACCCCTGCAAGAACAACGCCACCTGCACCCTGAGCGCCAAGTCGAAGCGCGACTTCGTCTGCAAGTGTCCGGCCGGCTACGAGGGCAAGTTCTGCGACGTCGACGTCGACGAGTGCGTGGGCGTCAGCTGCCCGGACGGCCGCGTCTGCGTGGACGCCGTGGCCGGCTACGATTGCAAGTGCCCGGAGGGCACCCGCGAGCCCAACTGCGCGCCCGTGCCCGACCCGTGCGCCGCCGATCCCTGCGACAACGGCGTCTGCGTCAAGACCGACGACGCCAGTTACCGCTGCGAGTGTCCGCCCGGCTACGCGGGCCCGCAGTGCACCGACATCAACGAGTGCAAGGTCGAGGGCCTCTGCAACAACGGCATCTGCCTGAACACCAACGGTAGCTACGACTGCTTCTGCAGGCCCGGCTACTCGGGCGACCACTGCGAATTCGACATCGACGAATGCCTGTGCGCCCCCTGCCAGAACAACGCCACCTGCATCGACAAGATCAACGGCTACGAGTGCCGCTGTCCGCCCGGCTACGAGGGCAAGGTCTGCGCCCAGGACATCGACGAGTGCCACGACCAGCCCTGCCAGAACAACGCCACCTGCGTCAATCTCATAGCCAAGTACAGCTGCGAGTGCGCGCCCGGCTTCACCGGCCACGACTGCGAGATCAACATCGACGACTGCGCCGCAGGGCCCTGCAAGAACAACGGCCGCTGCATCGACGGCGTCAACTCGTTCGCCTGCGACTGCGACGACACCGGCTTCGAGGGCGACACGTGCGAGATCAACATCGACGACTGCGAGCCCCAGCCCTGCGAGAACGGGGCCACCTGCGTCGACGCCGTCAAGGACTACAACTGCACCTGCTGGGACGGCTACACGGGCAAGAACTGCGAGATCGACGTGAACGAGTGCGAGAACTCGCCGTGCCAGTACAACGGCACCTGCTTCGAGCGCTCCAACGTCAATCTCTACAAGGCCAACGTGAAGAATCGCCCGGCCGTCTTCAATCAGGAGTTCAGCTACGCCAACGCGAGCGGCTACGAGTGCGACTGCGTGCCCGGCGTCACCGGCAAGAACTGCGAGATCAACATCAACGAGTGCGAGAGCGACCCCTGCGTCCAGGGCCAGGGCCAGTGCATCGATCGCATCGGCGGCTACACGTGCGAGTGCGACGACGGCTTCGAGGGCGACATCTGCCAGGTCGACATCGACGAGTGCAAGCGCTACGAACCCTGCGAGCACGGCACCTGCTTCGATCGGCGCGCCGACTATCACTGCAGCTGCGACCCGCTCTACGGCGGCAAGAACTGCTCGGTGCTGCTGCAGGGCTGCCAGGGCAACGCCTGCATGAACAACGGCACCTGCTGGCCGTACCTCGTCGACGAGACCGAGCACAAGTTCAACTGCACCTGTCCCAATGGTTTTTACGGCGAAATCTGCGATAGGGTGAGTTTTTTGTCTTTGCTATGATAAGCGCATGAAAGTTCACGATAGCGGTGGAAGGTTTTAACTTTGGCTGTGATACAAATGCTCTTGATTATCAGAAATTTTTATCTATTATATATTTTATTAATGTCTAACGAATGCACTATTTATTTTACATTGCTTCTTAATAATGCGCACAAATGATAACACATTAACAACTGCACCTATTAAAAAAAAAACAAACAAACACATTAACAATAAAAGGCACTGGACGGTGATAAGGTACATTACCAGTAATATCCGCTTGGCGAGTACTCGTTCACAATTAAAGCGAAAAAACCTTTCTCTCGTAAATATAGGTAACGACGATGTCGCTGAGCGGCAGTTCATTGGTCACCGTGAACACTTCGCGCGAGGAAGGCTACGACATTCAATTCCGCTTCCGCACGACGCTGCCCAACGGCCTCCTGGCCATGGGCACCGGTCTGACCTACTACATTCTCGAGCTGTCCGGCGGCAAGCTGAATCTGCGCTCGAGCCTGCTGAACAAGTGGAACGGGGTGTTCATCGGTAGCGGACTCAACGACTCGAACTGGCAGAAGGTCTTCGTGGCCATCAACGCCACGCATCTCGTGCTGTCGGCCAACGAGGAGCAGACCATCTACCCGATCAATCTGAACGACGGCGCCAACGTCACCTACACGTCCTTCCCCACGACCTACATCGGCAGCACAGTGACGAATCTGCGCAAGCTGCCCAAGGGCTCGCCGTACTTCATCGGCTGCGCCGAGGACGTGATCATCAACGGCGAGTGGATCTACTCGGGCACCGCGTCCAAGCACGTGGAGATGCTCAACGTCGAGGCGGGCTGCCCGCGCGAGGAGCAGTGCACCCCCAACCCGTGCAAGAACAACGGCCACTGCACCGACTGCTGGCGCGACTTCTCCTGCAAGTGCGAGCGTCCGTTCCTCGGCCAGACCTGCCAGTACAACATGACCGCGGCGACCTTCGGCTACGAGGACATACGCGACGGTTACGTCACCGTGCGCGTCAACGATCAGGCGCGCAAAGCCGTGCGACAGATCGTCGACATCTCCATGTTCGTGCGCACGCGCGAGTCCACCGGGGACGTCTTCTACCTGGGCAGCGAAGCCGCCGATCCCAAGGAGAAGACCTTCATCGCTGCCCAGCTCGAGGGCGGTGAGCTGCTCGTGCGCATTCAGTTCAACGGCACCGAGGCCTACACGGTCGGCGGGGTCAAGCTCAACGACGGTAACAATCACCTCATACAGGTGGTGCGCAACGTCACCCTCGTCCAGGTGAAGATCAATGGCACGGAGTATTTCCGCAAGACTATCAGCGCCTCGGGACAGCTGAACGTCACCGTGCTGCATCTCGGTGGTCTTCCTCAAACGTCGAGATTCATCAGGCAGGTCGAGAGCCGCATGATGTCCGACGCCGCCATGCAGACTCAACCGCCGCACATGAACTTCAAGGGTATCATACAGGACGTGCAGATATCCAACGGCATTGACGTCATGGTGGTGGAGTTTTATCCGCTCAAGACCAAGGACATACCGGTCCTCGTGCAATTCGGCAACGTCACCTTCGACCACGAGAAGGTGCTCGAGGGCGTCATTTCCGACAACGTCTGCGCGTCCAGTCCCTGTCATCACAACGGCACGTGCCACGTGACCTGGAACGATTTCTGGTGTCAGTGTCCGCGCGGCTATACCGGCAAAACGTGCCAAGAGATGGAGTTCTGCCAGCTGCAAGACTGTCCCCAGGGCTCGCGCTGTCAGAATCTCGACGACGGCTACGAGTGCATCGCCAACGCCACCTTCGACGGGCTCACCACGGAGTTCACTTACGTTTACGGATTGAACGAGAATCTGATGACCGAGAACAACACGGAGACGGCGATCGATCAGATCAGAATCGATTACAGATCCAACAACGGCGGCACCCTGATGCACATGGCGGCCGAGAGCGGCGACAATCACTTCACCGTCTCGGTCTATCAGGACTCGATCGTGGTAACGTGGAAATTGCAAGTAAGCGGCTCGTTGGCCTTCGGCAAGCCGCAACCCGATGGCAATTGGACGACGGTGATGATCAAGCTGAAGAACAACTCGATCGAGGCTCTGTACGAGAACGCCGGCGACGACGTTCAACCGCAGACCAGCGACGGTTTCAATTACGACGCTTGGTACGATCTATTGAGCCACGGCACGATCACTCTTGGAGCGATGCGGACGCCCGTTTCTAACATCGATATGTACAAAACTATCGGGGAGGAAAGGCATATCAGCAGAGACAGCATTATGGCGAACTCGGTCGAGCTCGCGGAAAGGAAGCTAACGACTGCGGCACCACCGAAAACTCTGATGTCAGGTAAAAATCGTAAAAAAATATCTTCATCCGCGCGAACTTTGGGACTCATTAATTCTAATTTTTAAACTCTTGACTCAGGTGAACCCTTCAAAGGTTGCATCGGCGAAGTTCGCATAGGTAGCATGCTGATGCACTACTTCACCTACGAGGAAGTTTACCAGAACGCCAACTTCACTCCTCTGCAGTTTCTCAAGCTCCAGCAGCAGGACAACACCTCGTCGCTGCACGAGAGCATCGGCTGTCGCCTGTGCTTCGAGAGCCAGTGCAAGAATAACGGCCACTGTCTGGACCAGCTCAACAGTTACATCTGCGAGTGCCCCGCGGGTTACGAGGAGGAGGACTGCTCCGTCGACATCGACGAGTGCCTCGACAATCAGTGCAGCAACGGCTCGACTTGCCTCGATCAAGTCGCCAATTACACGTGCCTGTGCAAAGACGGATGGCAGGGACGACAGTGAGTATATTATTTTATTTCCTCGATCGAGCTTACGATCGATCGCGAGATCATAATTATTGCGCGATTACGCTTGCAGTATTATGTTTGCACGCTCGGCCGACAATATTATCGTTGACCCAGAGACAGAGTGACTCGGTTTAGAAAAATAAAAAACGCGAGCGAAAGTCGTGTTTACCTTTTTCCCCGTAAACGGCCGCGAGATAAAGAGACACGGTTTTCATACCTCGATCGATGTGTGCTCATAACACACTGCCGGAATGTTTATTGAAAATTCATTCAATGTCTCATTGCAATCAAATCTCGCGCACCTGACATGTACTGCGCCGTGCTTTATTATCATCAACATCGTCGTCGTCGTCGTCGTCGTCATCGAATCAGAAGCAGATATCCATATGAAAAGAAAGATAGTCTTCATTGCTTCTTATCTTATCTATTTCACCCACTTTTTCGATCATTTATTCGCTCCTCTTTTCTCTCCGACTCTTCGCAACGCGGCTTATATACGCGCGTTCGCGATACGTAGCATATCGGTATATCGTCGCGCGTAGCGCACCGATACGAAAATTCACCATCCTTCGATCGCCCCGTCGTCTGCGTGAAATGTGTCTCTAATGTGTGTTTCTTTCTCTCTTCTCTCTGCGTGACAGCTGCGAGATCGACATCGACGAGTGCGAGACCCTGAGCCCCTGTCAGCACAACGGCAAGTGCATCAACGAGCCCGGCTCGTTTAAGTGCGAGTGCGGGGACAAGTTCATCGGCGAGCTCTGCGAGCAGTACCGGCTGATCACGTGCGCCGACTATCCCTGCAGAAACGGCTCGACCTGCGCCGACGTGCCCAAACCGGGTACGCCCAACAACTTCACCTGCAGCTGCCTACCGGGCTACGAGGGCGATCTCTGCGACACGCCCTACTGCGAACTGAGAAAGTGTCAAAACAATGGAACTTGCTTCGTCGTCGATCAGCAGGTATGAAGAAAAAAATCTCGATACTTTTATGCGCGATTATCGCTCTTATCTCGAGCTCGATAAATTCCTCGACCGACCGTGTATCGTGATCGTGACACGACTACTCGGCGAGCTACAAGTGCTCCTATACGTAAAGTGTTTATAACGATGTGTGCGCGCTCGTCGCGTGTGATTGCAGCCACCCAAGTGTCTGTGCCCGGCTGGCTTCGAGGGGCCCTACTGCGATGTAAACATCGACGACTGCGCCGCTGACGAGGACGGCAACGTGCGCTGCAAGAACGGAGGGAGGTGCATCGACGGCGTCAACGAGTTCACCTGCGACTGCTCGTACACCGGCTACGAGGGGCCCGACTGCAGCATCGACATAGACGAGTGCGAGCGCGGCCAGAACTGCAATCACGGCGAGTGCAAAAATAGCGAGGGCAGCTATCGCTGCGAGTGTCAGCCCGATTATTGCGGACTCGACTGCACCATGATGAATCTCTGCGTCGAGGAGTACTGCCAGAACGGCGGCTCGTGCAAGTGCAAAGATGACGGACAGTACGAGTGCTACTGCGTGTCGGGTTACAAAGGAATAAATTGCACGGAGGTGAGCTTTCATATTTATTTATTAATTTTTTTTTTCATCGTTCTTCGTCAAACGGAGTTGATAGAAACGGTTTTTTTTGTTATTGTCGGAACAATAATAACGATTTTACGTTTCTTTTACAGACGGAGCACTATCTCGGCAGTCGTGCATTGGACATTGCCGTGATCGTTGGGCCAATCGTGGCAATTATTTTCCTTATCGCCGCGGGTTCGCTCATCGCTCTGTTCATGATGGCGCGAAAGAAACGAGCGACTAGAGGGACTTACAGTCCGTCGGCGCAGGAATTCAGCAATCCCCGCGTAGAGATGGATAATGTGATGAAGCCGCCGCCAGAAGAAAGGCTTATCTAAGCCTCGTAATTTATATATTTTTGTAATATAAAAAAACAAACAAAAGGCAATCACTGTAGGTAAGATTTTTTCGACCTCTACACGAAATGATATTTATGCGATAGGAATCTCTCGGCGGGAATATTATTTTTACCCACATGATAATTGAGCAATGAAAAGATTTTTAATGAGTGAACTCGATGAAGTGAGATAAAGATTTTTTTACATTTTTCAGTTTCGAAACTTGTGTTCTCTTGTCATAATCAAATGCATTTGTTGATTACGTAAAATGTTTCCGGGCGTAGTAAAAATTTTTATTCGAACTTTGATTTATCATACTCAGAGGTCAAAAGTGTACTTAATAAAAAAATTTTACTGCGTATGATGCGCTCTTAACGAGATAAATATCGACAGAATCCATCCAATTTAGTGCCTAGGAATATGTATACTATGATTGCTATCGAAGTACTAATGTTTAAAATATTGCATACTAATAACTACAAACGAATTTCTTCAATGATACAACATGTTTCGTTGAAAAACACATATCCATAAATATGAATATATATGTATAAGTATTTTCTTTTGTATATGTATATATTTATGTTTGAACATGTACGTTCGCGTTTGTATAACCGTAAATTGTATGAGTATGACTATAAAGTTCATAGTTTTTCTTGTGATTCATGTCCGATTTAAAGAACAAAAACTATCACACGAATGTTCAAATTGTAAATAGTCTAATATTAATCGATAAGCTGTATGTACTTAGCGTCTTTAAGATTTTATATACGACGAGTAGGTAGTTTTGAATTTTTGAAAATTCTTATTTATACATAATTGAATTGTTACAATTAATTTTATATATGAATATATATATATTTATTATAGTTACACATGGTATGTACGACACAAGAATAAATGTAATTTAACGCAAAAATTGTATGTATGATGACACGACCAAAGCACCTCATTTGTACGGAGAGCAATGTATTAAAATGTAAGACGATAAACGTGTCTCGTGAATGGCGAAAAGATATGATTATGAGTTTCTGAATTTTTTTTTATGAGTCGAACGTAGACTAAGATTTTAGATGAAATTTTAGGCATTTTTAATAAAAGCGCCGTGTTAATAACTTAACGTCGCCTTGGCGATCCTTGATCATCACTTTAAATTGTAAGATTAATATAATTACTTTAGCAAGACTGATATATTTTTAGTATATCGTACTTTCTTTGCTAAATGTTTTTAACCGAATGTATGTTATTGTACTATAAGTAGAATTGATCAATTTCTCGCGATTCTCTATAAATATTATAAAGAATAAAAGTGTAAAAGCAATAAAGATAGTACTTAAGAATCAGACATATTAATAACTTTATTTAAATCATCGACAATTAAATGCTTTTTACTCACTGATCTTCATTAAAATTTGTTTATTTATACTATAATTTCAACAATATTGTCATATGTACAAGAGATCATCGTTTAAATATATATAAAAAATACATTCATAAAACGTTTCTAATATCATTTCATGATACCTCATAAAATATGCCGCGCACATTGCTCGACACACACTCCAAAGCAATCGTTTCTTCAGCCTTTTATCAGTTTGCCATTAATTTTGTTAAGTTTACTCCTTGATAGTTTGTCAAAAAATAGTAAACCAGCCGCTCTCTCGACGCTCTCCGGTGGGACCATAAAGTTCTGCAGCGGCACATCGTTACCAATCACCGCGTTTGGCATGACGAAAGCTTGCATTTCATACTTGGAGTCAGCGGTTTCGCCAACAACGATTTTGTAGAAGTGCGTCGGTACCGCTACGTGATTCGATCCGATGACCTCATATCGCACGTATTTCTTGCCATCGGCTTCGACTCTGCATAACAATTAAAAAGGATCGTTAATTAATCGCTTCGATATTACGAGCGCGAGTGTCATAAATGATTCATTACACATACTTAGGTAAGTACAATGGCCCTGTACAGACGTAAACGTCTTTGTAGACCTTTGTTAGATCCCTCACGTATTTTTCTAGCCTGTTCCATGAGTCACGATTAAAACCAGCTCCTACTTGAGGTGCCATATTCGACAACATGAATGTCTGCTGCATGTGTGTTTGTTCCATTTTATGGTTTCCTGCTGCTGCCAAATGTCCTCTATCGTATCCACTGCGTTTGTAGTCAGCGTTCTCTGACCTGAGATATTAATATTGATTTATCTTTATTTCCATTTGTAGGTGAATGGCTCAAAATAGACTTAAGGGGAATGTTTCTAATTTTATACTTACAGAATAAGTCTATAAAATTTAATAATAATTTTATTTCTGAAGAATTCACATAAAACATTTTTTCAATACTCCCTTTGAAACTATTTTTTCTAAAAACAGTTAAATACATTGAGATAAGTTTATAAACCTTGTACGCTAGACATTTTACACATCTAAGCTATTTTCAAGCTATATATCAATGTAATTTGCTGTTTTTAAGTATCTAATTGAATAAAGTACTTTCCGATGGAATATTAAAAAAGGTTGTCATGTCAGTTCTTTGAAAAAAAAATTATTATTCAATTTTACAGCTAAATACTGTAAATAGATGTTAAGCCCACTTTGAGCCATCCAGTTTGTATAACTTGACCATTAAAGTACTTTGAATTACCTGAAGAATGGATGTATACTTTGATCTGCTGTAAATTCACATTTACTACGATCAACTTTATCATTATAACTCAATCTTTCTTTTGTTAAATGTTCAAATACCCAATGAGCAACACGATTTCTCCTGTCATATGACAATACAAAATCATCAAAAGACCTAACGTTATCTAACCCTGGAAAACCATGTTTCATGATCTGTAAAAATAAAGTTTTAATGTTTGAGTTAAATTAATTTTAGAATATATCAACACATTCAAAAAAGTTTAATGAACTAAAATCGCACTTAAAATAAAAATCATTAAATAATAAGAAAAGTAATGATTACATTTTAAAAGCAAGCCAATATTCATTGATGATTGTATAAGAATACATCATTTTTTATTTAACCTCTTTTCTAATGGTCAACAAATCACATTAAAAGATAGATGATATTCAACTCACTTGACTGATTCGCGAAGCGTTTGTTGATAATTTTGACCCCATATCCTTATCTTCATTATTTGTTATTGGTACAGCCGCTGAAACGGTTGCAAAAATTGGTAAACCCGGTTTTGTCAGATGTTTTAACAGAGGAAAAGAGTCGATGTGCTTTTCATGGTTGTCAAGTTCACTATTTTTACGAGCGAACCAGCCGATAACTCCGCCAACACCAGCAGCTACCGTGCAATTAGTTAAAAGTCTCATGGATTTCATCCTAGTCGTCAAGTAATAAAAACTTATTGTAAGCGCGTCGAAATTTCGTTCAACACTAACAGTCGCACTCTGAGCATATTATGAATTACTCGAGAATTGAGTTTTCAGCTGCACTGCAGACGACAAAGAGCAGACGACTACCTACCACGTGGTCGTATTTTGAATTGACTTGTCATTCAACTTAACACGTGTGGAAAATTATTGATGAAAATAATGACGTGTTTTGTCAACTTTATGATTACAAGATTGATTCGGTTTATTTTGTATTTCTTTTTTTTTATAAAAATATTTACATAGAAAATAAATCTGTTGTTAAACATATTGACAAAAATGTAACAACAGTTAACTATCAAAGTTCTATTTAAGTCTATGCAAATTTACATTTAAAGCTACTTTCGTTGTAAGTATTTGAGCACAGTATCAAACTGTAATCTATTGTTTATTCTTAGTCTTTGAAGCATTTGATCACAATTAAATTAATAAGGTCAATCAAAGCTCAGTCATTTTCAGAACTTTCACTAGAATCCTCAACTTCGACATTAGAATGACCGGGTAAGTTGTTTGGATCAAACGTTTTTTGAAAACATTTCTGAAAAATTAATTTTGCTTTCTTTGATTTTGGTCTTGGCGGTGAATTTTGTACCAAATCATCGTTGTCCATGTCTCTCGATGATTCGTCCCCATCCTGATCGATTGATTTCCGTTTCATTAGTGAAGACGCCAAGTTAGTTCGTTCACTCGACGCCGGATGTTCAGCAGATTCTAATCGTAAAACTGATGTACTCTCCCTCGACGATCTTGGAGTAAAAGGATCGGCTTTTGAAACATCTGTGACCGATTTTCTTCGGTTGTTTTGAGTCGGTAGGTCAGATACATCGCTTATTCGGCCGGGCGATTCCATATCCGCAGATTCCATTGCTCGACTGTGTGCCGAATTAGAATAAGATTTTTTCCCCAATGACTTAATGCCCTTTCCTCTAGGTGCTCTTTTAGTTACTTTTTTAGGAGCAGGATTTTGGCGTGTGGAAGTTGTACTTTGTGAAGCTGATTCGGTGTCAGGATTAAGCGTAGCCAATACCAAATTAGATTCCATTGATCCAGATTTACAAACAAATACAACTGGCCTAAAGTTTTACAAATTAATTTAGACATTATTTTTTAAAAAAATGCTTATTTGATGAGTATATTAAACAAAAAATACCTTCCAGGACGTTCAAAGTGGATATCAATTGGTTGAGAGAGAATATCAGCTAAAGATAATATTGCTCTTAGCTCTTTCAAACAAAATGTTATAATTGTATCTGATTCAATGTTGTACTCATCAAATTCTCCTACACTAAAGTTACACTGTGTGCGAGTTTCATTAGAAACATCTAAAAGTTATCGAATTGCATTAATGGTTTTATTAATTTGTTATGAAACAACATAATTAGAGAAATAAAGTTGAAAACACTTTTACTTACTAGAAGATTCGTCAATGTAATTTCTTATCAGAACCTTTTCTTGAAGAACTTCTAATGTAATTTCCAGTAAACTTTGTTGAAAATTTTGTACTACATCGTTCATAACTCTTGGCTGAATACGTAAATGATTAGCTGTACCATCTTTCTTGTAATTTGCCTGAATATAAAATAAAAATATTAAATTAAAAATACTGTAAAATTGTAATTTTGTATCAAATAATTTACCTTAATAGTTTCACAATCTAATATTGGCAACAAATGAGTTTTAATAATACTATTTCTGTACTTTAAAACAAAAGTTAGCTGCTCCGAATTTGGATCTAATTGTATGTGGCATGATTCCACTTGTTTGTCTAAATTACCTTTGAAAACTGCTAAGGCACTCTGAAATTTTATTTATGTGAGCTTGAAAGCTTAATAATTGTTAAAAAAAATAAACACTACCTGGATGCACAGTTCAAACTTACTCTGATTAAAATTTTACATTTTAATGAATCACTTTCCTCGAGATCTTCGTAAGCATAATACGAGAAATAATTTTCTTGAAATGTTATGTCTACGAATGCCGAATTTGAACTATTAACCGTTCGAAATGACAAACAGTCTTCCTGAGGCTGTACAAACATTTCTTCTCCAATTTTTGAGAGCATTTGAATGGCTCTCGCCAAAACTGTAAAAAATATTGCGAATCATGTGATTATTTACTTTAACTTTTTTTAATACAAATTCTAAATGCAAATAAAAATAAAGTATTATAACCTTCAAACGCTTCTAACAATAAACTTACTTTTTATATTTATTCCAGACACGACACATTTCATTTTTAATAATTTTTTGTATAACAAATAACAAAGATGAACAAGAGCGACAAACTAATGATGAGATCGTATTAACATTGCAAAATAAAAATCATTTTTAACAATCTGACACATTTCCCGCGTCAAAAATGTTGCAGACAGAACGCCGAATCGTTTGCTGATTTGATCCTTACTCCTTCACAATTCGCACTGTCGTGTCGTATTTCGTACGGCCCGCAATTTTAGGTTGGAAAGTGCACAGCTGCCGATTGGTGATTATGCACTTGGCATATCTGAAATAAAGTAGTTGTCACTCCCACCTACTAAACATTCTTAACAATAATCAAGGAACATTAAAGTGATTCGAATCGATTGATAAGCATCGATCTTTCATTTCCATTAGTTTCTGGTGGATCTATCAATTATCAACAAACATGGTAAAATAATATAGAAAACAAGTGAAGAAAACCGCAAATGTTTTGTGTAATTCACATAACCTACTCGATAGTTTATCAAGTTTGACATGTCATTTGTTATGACACTTGTTGAAAGTTACACTCAAAATTATTCGTGCGTTTTCTGAAAATAACTCGCAATTGTGTAGGTTGAATTGGAATTAAAAAGATCCGTTTTTTATCCTCTCATTTTATTGCATTGCAGTTGGTGTTAGTTTTGGGTGATTTGCATATTCCACATCGATGCAGTAGCCTTCCCAGTAAATTTAAGAAGCTTCTTGTACCTGGAAGGATACAACATATTCTGTGTACCGGCAACTTGTGTACCAAAGAGTCTTATGATTACTTAAAAACATTGGCCAGTGATGTTCATATAGTCAGAGGAGATTTTGATGAGGTAATCATGAAGATTAATAATTTATCTAATTTTATTTAATAAATGCAACTGAATATGTTTGGTTTTAGAATCTGAATTATCCAGAACAAAAAGTAGTTACTGTTGGACAATTCAGAATAGGCTTATCCCATGGACATCAAGTAGTTCCTTGGGGAGATCCAGAAGCTCTGGCATTGATTCAGAGACAATTGGATGTTGACATTTTGATAACAGGACATACACATAAATTTGAAGCTTATGAACATGAAAATAAATTCTATATAAATCCTGGTTCTGCCACTGGTGCATATAGTCCACTTGACACGTAAGAATAGTTTTTCTTTTAATTTATATTTTGATATCTATAAAAATCATCAAGTATCATAACAATAAATTTACAGATCTGTGACTCCTTCATTTGTTTTAATGGATATTCAAAGTTCAACAGTTGTGACCTATGTGTATCAATTAGTTGGAGATGAAGTGAAGGTCGAACGAATTGAATATAAAAAGAGCTAACAAACAGATCAAAATAAAAATGAAGAATCGTCTAACTGATGCTTTTAATATTCAAGTATTTATGACAAATTATATTTATTAATCATGTATTACTACTAGATTTTTATTGTTTATTTAATATTATATAATACTAAAACTTACATTTTTTATGATGAAAATTGTATATAAAAAAATTTATGTAGACTTTAAGATTATATTATTCAACTTGATAGATTTTTAAAAATCTCATGTTTTATAAGGGTTCATATTTTTATATGGAATGGAGATTCTGAAAACAAAAACCAAAACTTTTGTGAACATTTTCTTCGTCTCAAACTGTATCCAATTTGTTAATTTTACTGAAATAAAGAAGAAATTAATGCATACAAGTATATGTTATCAATCTTATCATGCATTATATTCTGTACACCTAGTCATAAAGCTCCTAAACATCTTCCTTACCGATCGAGTCGAAGGCGCGTGCCTTTATTTCCAGTACCACCCCTCGATCGTTTTTATTACTTCTATATAGACTTAGACTTTATATAGCATATGTATAGGTTGTGCGAAATATATACAACGATGACATCGTTGTAAAGAAAAATACGCGAAACCGTTGCGTAGAGTTTAACAGAAATAATCTAGTGTTCATACATTTTCTTTTTGAATTGATTAAAGTTCTCAGATAAAGTTTAACAATTTGTGACTATTTGAAATGTTTTAGCATCTATATTGAATCAAACCATTTAGATCGTGTAAATTACGAGTTTGTTATTAAGTTTACATCGATAAATATTCATATTTTCGTGCAGTAATCTATTCGAAAATCGATTTGGATGATATTATTATGTAGAAAATCGATTCCTGTCTACTAAACATCCAAAGAACATGGTAGCTGGTACAGGAAATGGTTCAATTTATCACGAGCGTCAGGTAATCGTATAGACATAGCCGTATTTTGCATGGTACAGTGATTAAGTAGTTTTTTTATGCAAGTGCCATGACAAGCTGTTTTAGCTGTATTAACACGTTAATTAATTCAGAACTTGAGTATTACGTTCTTATTATAATATCATTATAAAAATACTTTTGTAGGTCAAAGAACTCTGTGCTCTGCATGCTTTAAACAATCTGTTTCAAGAACGAGGTTACAGTAAACAAGAATTAGATCAAATATGCTACAGTTTAAGTCCAGATGTGTGGATAAATCCTCACAAATCATTGCTTGGACTGGGTAATTATGACATTAATGTCATAATGGCTGCGTTGCATAAAAAAGGTTGTGAAGCTGTTTGGTTTGATAAACGGAGGTTTGTAAATTTTTGAAATGACATTTTTTGTTTGGTGCTTTTTTATTCAATTAATCGCATTTGATTCTAGGGACCCAAAATGTTTACATCTTGAAAATATTCAAGGTTTCATTCTCAATATACCAACAGACTATAAATTAGGTTTTGTTTTATTACCTTTAAAAAGACGTCATTGGGTTGCTTTGAAAAAAATCCAGGGTGCCTTTTATAATTTAGATTCTAAACTTGATTCGCCTCAACTTATCGGAAAGGTAATCATTCATTAGACTAAATGGTTTATTGTATTAAAAAAACTCTTAAAAATTGTTATGTAATTTTAGGACAGTGATTTATTAGCTTACCTAAAAGAACAAATAGACAGCAAGGAAAAGGAACTATTTCTAGTTGTATCCCAAGAGGTAGATAGTAAACAAGGATGGCTTATTGAACCAAACGAAACCAAAACTATGACTGATAAAACAGAGGAATCAATCAAGAATGATGATAATAAAACAGAGACTGAAAATAATACCATAAATACAGATTTAAATTTAAATAATTCTGAGAAAGAAGAAAATGAAAATGAAGACATATGCAGTGACCAAAGTCCTAGGTAGTTCAACTGTTATTAAATTATGAAAACTGCTGATGGAACTGAACTTGTTTATGATGTATGTATTAGTGTTCAAATATCATGACAGTTTGTACGATAAAACTGCAAATGTCATGTAAATGTTAAATCTTAAAATTGAGTAAAAAGTTACATTTGCTGGAAAAATTTTTTTATAAAAATGTTAAAATTATAATTAATATCAAACGAATTAGCAGCCTACTCAAACTTTTGTATAGTCAAATTTATAAAAGGTAAAAATGCTATCAAAATGAATTGTATAAATGGTATTTAAATCATAATTTTTTTATTTTAACAATGAAATATCAAGGAATCAATCTACATAAACATTTCTAAATAGTCATGAAACAATTGACTGTGCAACCAAAATAATACAACAGGAATTACCAAAATTTTAATAGATAATAAAAAATCGACGCTACTATTAGTTTAATTGTATTTCATTCATGATTCATTTCTAAAGTGAAAAATGCGCACATTTTATCTAAAATCAATCTTTTTTTCTAAGAATTTATGAAACTCATGTAAAACAGAATTTTTTTTAAAATAATTGGTATAAAACTTACACTTGATATAATTCTTTAAATTTTCACTTATACTTTTTTTTACCTTCTCAGAATTGTAGCATAAAATGACAAGTCATTCAAAATTTTTGTTTAACTTGAATTTTCATTGTAAATTGTAATCAAGCACTGAACTAATTATAGTGAAAAGGGTATTTAAAGATTTGTATACAACTACTTCAAGTACCTATCAAGTAATTCATGTAGATTTCTATGTGTATTACCATTTATTAATTAAGTTACACCTCTTGTAGGTGATTGATACAAAACTTGGAATTGACAGTTCTTAAGTCATTATTTTATTTGTGACATTTTTTCATTTTTTCTACTTGAAAGTACTGATAACACATTTAATTATAGGGTAATAAGAGTGAGAAGATCTTTGCAAATTTGTTTTGAAATATTTACACCTTTTTAAATTGTTATCAATGTGATTTTTTATTCATACTTAGAATTTACAATGTGTTTCAATCACATATAATTACAATCAAATGTATGAAATCACCACTAACATTAGCAATAAAGAATAGAAAAAATGAACTTGCATTACATTGAAAAATAATCATCAATTTTTATAAAGTGAAGTATAGAAATAAAAATATTGAATGTTATGGAAAGTCGATTAGTAACTTATTCTGAAGAGTGTTGAATTGAAATTAATTAAGCAATAGCTCACTTGAAAAGAATTTGAAAAATGACAGGGCTTTAGTAATTTGCTGTTTTTTTAAATATCAAAAGTTGTTATCAATTTATATGCATTCAAAATTATTGGATGCAACCTGTATTATTTTGTAAATATATATTTATTAAAAGTCATATTTCATTGTGATTATATTTACAGTTGTATCATACAATCATTTAAATATACATTTTCCCTTCCTTGCGTATGTACAATTACTTTAAAACTAAAAGTATCTAACATAAGCTTCATATTGAAAAATCACCATTTTATGGATATAGAAGGATTCATTTTCTCTATTTCATGATACTGAGTATGGAAGAATGACTGAGCTTTGTCAGAATTTTCGCTGTCTAACCAGGATTTATATAACTTTTGAACAGTAGGATTTAATTCAGGGTCAATATGTGGAAGTTTATGGTACTCATTTTCCAGTTTTGCAGCTAGTTCTCTTGGTTGCGCGCCATCTTGACTCCTAATTTGTGCTCCTCCATTCAAGCATCCTGTATAAAATACAAAGTTAATAACAATCTAGCATTTATAATTAATAAAAATTATCTTTCAATGTTCAAAAATATACCTATGGGGCAAGCCATAACTTCAACATAGTCATAAGGACTTTTTCCTCGTTTGAGTTTCTGAACAAGATTCTGAATATTTCTGAATCCATTAGCTACAGCAAACCTAAGTAAAATTTCACCATCTTTTTCCAGAGTAGCTTCTTGAAAGTCTGGATTTCTAAGTGACTTGAGCTCTAACTTAGCATTTGGTAACTGGAATAAATTTTTTGCAGCATATTCAAATATGAAATTTGCATATCCTCCTGAACCAGAGCCTTTATGACCCAATAAAATAGTACTATTTTCTTGATCCTGTTCTTGGAAAGGTTTATCTATTTCGGCTACATCAAAATCGTTCAATTCTTTTCCTTGTTGAGTCAACATTTGCTCAATTTCAACTGAAATAAATTATGATGCATTAATTTGTATTATTAAATATTTATTAAATATTTTTATATTTTTGATCAACTAACTTGCAGTTATAACGCAGTCTACATCCCTGGTTTCCTTCAAACTATTATAAAAATCCTCTCTTGAAGCTTCTAGTTTTTTGTCATAGCAAGGCATAAGAGTAATATGGTATAATTGCTCAGGAGACAATCCTTTCAAATCAGCAAAGTGATATTTTACCAGTGATCCCATAATCTGTTGAGGTGATTTTGTAACACCAATGTATGGAAGTATAAAATTTCCATGAGTTTTTTCAGCATAGCAAACCCATCCTGAGATTAAAAGTAATTACAGTTGAATTTTATATAAATTAAAACTTAACAAGTAACACTATTGATTTTATAGTTTACCTGGACACGAGGATGCAAGCATTGGCAATTGATTTTTTGAACCTTCTTTTGATGCCTTATATCTTTCAACAAATTCTTTTGCAGATTCAATCAATGAAAAATCTTCAGCTACTGTCATATCCAATACAACATCTGCGCCCATGCTTTTAAAATAACCAGAAAGCTTCAATGCTGTTTCATCTGGACTTAGTTTATACCTCTCTGCCAGTGAGAGTATAGGTTGAATAGATAAACTTACTACAATGTGTTTAAAGTTTGATTCTCCAGCCTAAAAATTATAATTAAAGAATCAAAATATTGTTTTATTATTAAAATAAAAAGCAATTACAGACTTTTTGCTTGTCCATCTTTTCTTTAAAAACTTTCAGCAACTCTTCCTGACTTTGTTGAGTAACGAGAACACTCTCAGCTGACGTAATGCAGCCGCTGCAAGCCAAACAATCAGCTAGAGTAATTTCAACTTTTTCCAATTTTGTGGTTGGTCCTCCCTGGGATTGAATAATAAATTTTTATTATAAAAATTACAATTAGTCAAAATTGAATAAGTAATCATAAAATTATAAGGGTTCATACTTCCAAAACTTCAGTATAAGTACCATCATCTTGGATTTTAATCTTGGTACCAGTCTTAACTTTGTTTTTCTTTATCTCTACAGGCTTGATACATTCCTGTGGAAAAAAACATTTTATTTGTTTAATATTTCAAATTATCCAAATAGTCAAGATTGAGTAGTTCAAACGTTCAACCTGAGACGGAGTAATGAAGTCATCCAAAGTTGTTAATTGAAGAGCTCCACTGAATCGAGAGGCCATTTTTTAATGTTAATTTTCGAAAATGCGATCTTTGCTCGTGACTGTCAAATCGATTCTTGCAAGTATATCAATTAAGTACCGACGAGATCCTATTTTACCACTAATATTCACTTGTTATCAAATTTCACTCATGCACAGTGGAAAATAAATTAATTAGATAAAAATGCCGTTATCAAAATCGGGAAAAACTATACGGGAGCGTGCTCGAATGTTTTTGTCTAATGTAGCCTGGTGCTTGCCGTGCCTTGTGCTGTATTGTCGACTGCTGCGCTTGTCCGCATTGAACCACGTGACATTTACATAAATATAGCTATACAAATCGTCTATTGAAATTGAAACCTGCGTTACTTGTAGCGCTCAAAATGTAAAGAAAACTGAGATCGCGTAGAAAAAAAAATGAATTCGTTAATCAAGATCTATTCACACCCGATGGAAGCATATATAATTAAGGAATTGCTGCTTCATTTCGTAAAAAGTCTTTTGTAAAAATATCTCTTGTAAAAATGTCCCGCATAGAATCCCCCAGGAAAGCGCAAAATTCTTTGTAAGATTTCTGCAAGAATTTTGCGACTTTTCGACAATTAGGGTTGTTTTTCAAGTTACAATTTATGTGGGTCGAAACCTCCTTTTGAACTATAATTTACTATTACCTACGCGGCTAAATTTCTTATTTCATTTTTTATAGTCTCTAAAGTTTGTAAAAAATTTCAAGGCTCATCTAGTACTCAGTTGGGAGAATGAGACCTAAATTATTATCAAATAATTTAACGGTACTGAACGCGTAATACCCTGGTTTTCCTTTAAATTTGAATATAAATTCGAATTCATATAATATTTAACAAAAGCAAAGAACTATATCAACAATTCAAATAAATTTTACTCTCTCCGTTATAGTCATCGTTTTGTTCATTAAATCAGATTCGAATTTGGAAAAAAGTTCAATCATTATACACGGATAAATTTGAATCATATTTTTTTTCTTAATTACCCAAAATATAATTTCTCTTCTCTAGATTTAACTATTAACCACCCTAATTCGTAAACAAAGAAAGTAATCAAAAAAAAAATTGCGAAATCACAATGGCACACATATTTCCTTTCGCCAAGTGGATTTTCGTCGTCCTAAAAGTCTCGTAGCGCCCGAGTCTAGATCGCGTCCCTTTCGCATACATCGCAGCAATTTTTCAGTGAGCGTCAGCCCGAGACAGTAAAACAATTGGAAGATTCTCTCATGGACAGTATAACGTGTATAAGCTAAATGCACACAAGGAAGCGATCGATGTGTCGCCCTTTTTCGTCGTCGTCGCTCCCCTTTTCTATATACGCGACGTAGTCTTCTGCGACTATATACGCGAAAATCCCCGCGCAAGAAAATATACACGGAGGGGAATCGGTGCGCGCGGGGCAAAGTATTTTTACTACTATAACGGAGAGCGACTCGAGCGGGGGCGTCGCACTCCTTGCCATAGATATACCCACACGTACCAGACGTGCGCGCGGGGCTTTACATAGGAAAATACCGACACAGTAGCAGCAGCAGCCAGTGCTCGTGTAGCAAGTGCGGCGCGCTGTCCCTGTACTACGGTTATCGTACACCAGGAGGATCAGCTAAGCACGTCGCGGGGATGACGGAGGTGAAGAAGGACGACGTCGTCAAGATTCTGCACACCTATCCGCTGTGTCGGGTGAGATTCACGCGCTTTTCTATACTTATTCTTTAATGGTAAAACCAGTGCCTAAGCTCGCGCGTATCATATCGATGCAGAGCTCTATACATGCGACGCACGGGCTTGTTTTCCTATTAGATACATACATTGCACTGCGCCCGCTATATCTATATGTCGTGTGTATAGAATGTCGGGCCGCGCTCGTATACACATTATACGGCGATCGATAGATAATATCGTATGTATATGCTACTTATGCACGCGACGACGAGAGAAAGGTACGTACCTACTTACGTGCACGAATCGCAGCCGCTGGGATTATTCGAACGGTGCACATTATAGAAAACCTATATCTACCTAGCTGATTGTACGAGAGTCTGTGTGCGCGACCGTACGATCGTATTTCGTGAATGCAACATACACGTGGATTCCTACATAATATTACAAAGATGCACTTTGCGCGCGATGATTTTAATACCGATCGATCGATCGATCGTCGCGTGATCGTGAGAGATCGTTATGCGTCGATATGCAGAGCTCTTTCGTACACGCGCGAACGATAATCGACCAGAAAAAAAATAAATAAATAAAAACAACTCGCGATTCATCGATAAAAATGCTTTTTGTTTTCGCAGAAATGCGACATGACGGACGAGATGAAGCAGGAGGCGATGGAGCTGTGCGTCACCGCGGCCGAGAAGTACGCCGACAATTACGAGTCGGTCTCGCGCATGATCAAGGAGACGATGGACAAGCGCTTCGGCGCGAGCTGGCACACCGTCGTGGGCGAGGGCTACGGCTTCGAGATCACCTATCAGCTCAAGCATCTGCTCTACATGTACTGCGCCGGCAATCTCGCCATCTGCATCTGGAAGTCATCGTGAACGTGCGGAGCAGAAAAAAAGAAGAAGAGAGTATGGAAACTCGCGTGTCAATTGTGTCCGATAAAAATTGCCTTTGTCGAAATTTTTAAATATTATAATATATATTTATACACAAATTATATTTACGAAAAGTGCGTTACCAAGAAAAGTCATAATGAAGAATTTTATACATTACGTACAATGTATGTTCGTTCGAGTACAAATATTTCTTTGATTTAGACATATTTAGAATTGTTTAGCTTGTTCTCGCTCGATCCGATTTTGTATTGTTTCAATTTAGTTTCGTAATTTTTCAACAACTTCGTCGTTATTTGTATAATTAAGCTCTCGAATTAGGATCAGGACTGAGTACTGTTCACTCAACCACAAAATACCGATAAGTATTAACATTGATCGCACATCGACGATGTACGATTGCGCCACCGGACGAGCAGCAATATTTTATAATTTAATTTAATAATATTACAAAAAGTACTACTTTCAAGTACTCGTGTACTTCAAAATCGAAAGTAAAGTTAAGAGCCTCTCTCGATATGCCTGCGAAGAGCAAAAAACATTCGCTATTCGTGCTAATTGCAATATGTCAATTGTTTTTTTTTTATTTCGCTAGCGAATTATAATATACGTTTGCCGAGTAAACTTTGTAATTGTTACCGATGTAGGCGTACTTCGCATTATGTATTTATTATAGCATAGCCAGTAAGTAATTAATCGACGTTGAAACATTTTATAGATTATGCCTGTAAAACGTCCATTTACGCGAGAAATATTATATATATTATTATATGTATACATGTACACGACTTTTTTAGCACTTTTTAAAAAGCAGTACAAGATATATAATATATACACGCGAAATCGTAAAACCAAAGATGAAAATATGTGAAAACGCGTATTTCTTATTTTCGAAACTAAACGACAACAAAAAAACCAATGTATAATGCCTTATTTGTGCACCAGAAAAAAAAAATAAACGCGAACACTCCTTCGAGCGCCAATGAAAGTATCGTATAAAATAATTGAAACATTATGTATATTCGTATACAACTACCATTATTTATAAGCCTATAATGTACACACACCGAGATCGTCGAATTGTACACAGCATATTGCCGTGACGATTCTCACGAATAAAAATTGCAACAACTATCTAAAAAAAAAAAAAAAAACCAAAAACAATCTCTGTCTCGATCATTACACTTTAAGCGCCTATCGTGATAATCGATATTGTTGTTATATCGCGTGTGTCCTATCCAAAGCTGGCGACGGTGCGCCAGATGAGGGCCGCCACGTTGCCGTTGGTGAACATGAGCAGCATCGACTTCTCCTGGTGGGTGCAGCAGTAGCTGTAGTCCTCGCCGATCACCACGTTGAAGGGCGCGCCGAACTTCTTGTCGAGCAGGTCCTTGACCATGCGCGCGGCCGTCTCGTAATTGTCCGAGTACTTCTCGACGGCGGTGACGGTGGCCTCCATCGCCTCGGTCCTCATGTCGTCCGGCATGTCCGTCACCTGCGCGTGCAACACAACGCGGATTGCAGCCGCGACCGATCAGCTCGTTTCCCTCATCGAGAGAGCTTCATTCGATGAATTTTTTTTGCAGTTTTTATTTTACCTTGCAGAGAGGATAGGCGTAGGCGAGGCTTATGTCTTCCTTGGTGTCACCCATTTTGTCGTTGTTTTCGTTGCTGTTGTTGTTGTATGATGTGAACTTTTTTGGCTAGTCCTCGCTCGCTCTCGACTTTGCGCGTGTCGTTCGATGTACACAATTATTTATCATATAGGTTATCGAACCTCGATCGTTATTCATTTCCTTTGAGGTTCGACGATGCTTGAAATTACGCAGTGCCGGGCTTTTCAATGAGAGACAAAAAGATACCTTTTTTTATACACAAGTATATAATATATTTATAATTCTCAAGTTCAATGCGTCGATGCATGTCGTATTTACAGATAAAAATATTCACAAAAATATAGAACCTAAAATTTAAAAATAAACGTCTTCCGGCGAATAATACATGATTTTTATTCGTTAAGCCATTCTGCATTTACTTCGTGTAATAATTGATACGAACGAGAAATGGCTTTCGGTGATTTTTTTTTCTTTCGCTTTTACATTAGAGCACCAACGGAGGCAAAATTTTTTTCATATTGGCATAGATTACCATTCTCAAATGATTTCTACTTACAAAAAATAATAATAAAAGTACGTCATATTGCACGCATCACTTTATAATCGCACTCAAAAACAAAATTCTTTCTTTTATCAAAATGACATACAACTACGTAATTTTATAATAATCTCGAAAAATTGATTTACATTGAACAATTTTAGATCGCTCAGTCTTAATACCTTTAGAAATTGTGAATACCTTGTAAAAGGTACTCCTGAAGTGTACAGAATAAGAATTCCGAAATCTATATCTTAACGCTGATTCGTTAAAAGAAAACAATAAAATATGCATCTGTCCAAACAATGAATAGGCTTATATACAAAATACTTTAATTGATTATTGTCTAACATGCTGCCTGATATTATTTAAACGATACTCAATAAAATTATTTCTAAATTTAAATGGTACAGTCCAATAATCGAAGTCTAAAAAATGTGTAAACGTCTCATAGTGTATAATAAATAATACCGACTCGAATGTACTACAAAAAAACAAACCAACAATCAATCGATTCAAAAAAGTGTATAAGTAACGCAAAAATAATTATGATTTATAGTTATATGTGATGCTGTAGGTATAATCGGAATAGACGATTCTTCAAAACTGGAACTGCGTGACCAGTAATTTCGTAGCTTTGGCTATGTCATAAGCACTAGAGCGAACTTGTTGAAGGCAGCGATCCATGTGATCCGGGTCACTGGTACACCTCTGCAGTGCGGAGCACTCGGCTTGTAACCGTCCCGTATTGCCATTCAGTTGACGAAGGGCAGATCTAATGTTATCGTCCACTGGATTCTGTTGATTGACAATTCGATCGTTACTATCATTCAGACGGATACAGATGGCGTTCAAAATTTTACCTGAGGAAATATGGCAACAAGCTCGGAGACGGCAACGCGAATTCTTTCTGCGCAGGGCACGAAGGCTTCGCGGCGACCTGGATCTTGCATCGCCATCCACAGCTCTTGTATGCGCTTGGTCACGTGTTCGGTTCGTCGCGTAACTTCTTCGCTGGCCGGTAAATTTGGCGCCTCCCACGGAGATTGTCTCATCGAAGGACTCGACGATCCATCCGACTCTCTTATTGTCTGCGAAGTCAAAGACGCGGGCTAATTAATATTAATGAAAAATATGCAAATTAGGAATACAATAATACGTTGTTTTACTATAAGCGTTACAGAATGACGCCTACCTGATTGCTATAGATAGGTGGTTTTCGTAGGCCCTCTCGGGTCTCATACATCGACGCGGGTCGCTGACCTTTCGGAGACGTATTTATTTTATTATCGATGACGGGCTCGAGCTCCGAGTCGTTGTGCTCGCCCACGTGATGACCATTCACTCTCTCGGAAGGTAGTGTGATGTGAAGTTTGCTTTGCATGTGCAAGGCATTTTTCAAATCGCAATTTTCCACGGTCAATTGTTCAACGGTAGTCTGTAGTCGTCTAATTTCTTCTCTAAGTTCCCTGGCAGTTGTTTCCGATAGTGTGAGTTGTTTTTTTAACGATTGTACTACGGATGATAATCCTTTGGAGTTTGGAGAGAGACCGTTTTGGGCAGTAAATTTCTTCAAACAAAATTTAAAAAGAAGCATTAAAATAATTCTCCTCTTTAATTATTACAATCTTTATCGGTTAATAATATTAATTAAATGATAACCTGATCTCCGTTCATTGTCCTTGTCATATCTGTCGTTAGAGCTGCATAATCATCGTCGGAGGCGACGCTATCATAAAGCGGTTCGTCATCCGACATTTGTGACGCTTGTCTCTCAAAGCCATCTTTTTTCAATGAAGTTACAATGGGATCTAAACATTTTTCGTAATTTTTATTTCACAAGCTTTTTCTATGGACTAGGAATATTAAATATTTCAGTATTTACCCTGCAATGGCGTGGCATTCGATAAAGAATGCCTGTGTGCAACTTCGTTTAAAATATCGATGATTAAAGTTGCGAATTCTTTAGGTGTGAATCTTGCTAATTTTTGTCGACCTTGATTGCGCGTCGATGACAGTTGTGGATGAATTGGTAAAAATGGCACAATGCAGCGTTCAGGTAGACTCGATGACGTTAGCCAAACTATGAAAGAAAAAAGAAAGTCAGCACTATTGATCACAGCCATTTTTATTATAAGCATAAAGCTGAAATATATTGATGCACGTGCATTTTATAAAAAAAAAATCGAAAATTATGTGGGCGTTACAATGGTGCGTGATAGATTCTGTAGCTCTAGTCTTGTTAAAACATAAAATAGATTTGTTACCAACTAAGCTACACAATTTGAATAGATAGTGTGATTCTTAGGAAGTTTTTTACTCACCTCTCCTTTGGATTAGCATTTAAAAAAGGTCATGCATATTATTAACATTGAAAGATGGATTAACTAAGATAGTATGAATTGCATGAATTTGGTCATGATTATGAAAGAAGAAATTTTATCATTTTTACTGTTACTGTTAGGATCATGATTATATGATTTACATACAAGGTGACAGTTTTATAATTATAATTTATTTACTACTCATGTAAAAAATGTTTTATTTTTGTACTCACTAGCATCAGTTTCCCTTCTATCTACTTCATCATAAACATCTGAAACTAACTCTTCCAATAAATGATTTGGCAACTGTAATTTAAGATAATTTTTATTAATATAAGATTTAAAAGAATATACAGTTATTGCATCATCTGCATACCATTTGCAATTTATTTCGTGCTTCATAGCCCAAATCGTTTCTCTCAACTCCTGAAGCCCAGCCAGGTACAATCAAATGTTCACCCGATTTGTGATCAGGCTTTCTATTACATAGAAAGTATGTTAATTTGTCAGTTACTTCATACATATGTTCAGTAAGTTTCTCTGATAACTCAAGGTGTCCCGCTAATCTGTGGATGTAATATATAAAAATGAAAATTAAAAAATTTATATTTGTCTAAAGAATTAAAAATACCACATAGTTAATAAAATTTACCTCGCTACTTCAGCTGGAGTATGTCCAGCAGAATCAACCGTACTTGGATTTCCACCGTTTGCAATAAGTAACTCCAATTGAAGGGCTTGACCTGCTCTAGCAGCTACATGTAATGGCATTGTTCCCTTTTCCTTCAAGATAAAAAAATAACACATTAAAATGATGTTCACAAATTTATTCAGAGAATCAATAAAAAAACATATCTGAATAAAAACACTACGTACTCTATAAAAATAATTAGGATTGGCTCCTTGTGCAAGCAATCTCAATGAAGTTTCTAAATTAGCAGTGCGTACACTACTGTGTAGCTGTCTGTTGAGCTCTTCTTCGCTACAAGATTCTTCTTTACATGACCTCAGAATAAACTTTAGATCTTGATGTTTTGCTTTGATAAAATCTGCTTTAACAGGACTAAAAAATAATACAATTGATGGTTAAAAATAATCTTGAACTAAATAATTTCAATTATATTAGAGTATACTAACTGTAGAGGATCTTTTGGCTGAGGTTTACGTCTGCTTAATTTAGAATTGGGATCTAGTAGGGAATGCTCCCAAATACTGTTGGCTCCATTATCATTAAGTGTGCGAACCATCTACAATACAAAAAATATAATTTAAAAACTATAATCTTGTATAATTGTTTCTACAATAATTGCAAACGTACATTTAACATATTTGTGCTCCAGCTTCCTTTTGTCAATGACTTGATATAGGATACATGCCTGCCTAAACTACGGTGTATACTGCAACATTCATCGCAGAGCAAAATAGCCCTGTTTATTGAAGCCCATACAGGTTCTAAAAATTGTAAAACCAACGAATAAATTACACACTGAAATAAAAACTCGATATCTATCGTAATAAAGAAAAAAAGTTTGGTGAGTCATGTTTACACTGAAACGACCTAATGATATACTCGTTCGGATCAGTCACAATAATTTTGCGCCTTTGCAAATGAAAAATGAATATAGAAACTCACCAGGAGATCCGCAATCCGCGCAAACGTCCACACTTGCTCTATTTTTCGCTCTGGCCATTGTTGAAATTTGGTGCAGCGAGTTCGAAGGCGACAAACGTTGTTATTCTTTTATTACTATTTTTTTCAAACTTCACTTCACTCGCATCAAGACACCGAACACGATGTGGCCGAAACAGCGACCAGTCAACCGAGAAGTAAATAACACGACGACGACGACGACAATCGGAGTCGTGGTTTAGTCGGGTATCGTTTTTTACATCATCATCTTCGTGGAGCCGCGCGAGAAACTATTAAAAGGTCTTCTTCCTGACGCGACGAGGCACATCATCTCACCATCGAGACTAGAGACGCAGATTTCATGGGGCGCGGTATACTGCGTGGAACTGAGAGGTTTATTAATAAACATACACACACTTCTCGAGTGCCCGCTGCTGCTGCTGCCGCTGCTGCGAGCCAAGAGTCACGCACACACACACACACATAGAGAGCGAAGCACAAGTTAAATTACCCTACTATTAGACGCGAGATGTGTACATGTACATAAGGTAAGGATTGATGTGTGTATATAGCTAATACAACACTGTGTCTCGTAGTAGTACACACACTCTCGGTATATGGGCGCGAGGTTATACTGTTTGACTCTTTTTCCGTCAGCTGCGCTCCTATATGTACACCGCAAAAACAAGCCGTCATATAATGTAAAACTTGGCGTGTATATCACGGCGTGCTTACCCATTGCTGTTATGTGTCGCTTTTGACTCTGCTCCTTTTCAGCGCCTCCCATCATCATCGCGCGACAATTATTAAATGCCCCCGCTGGGAGATCGTGGAGTATTTGTGTAGATGTACGATGGATTCATTACGAAAATCGAGTACGCAAAAGTACGAAAATTTTATTCATCCAATAAACTTGTAAAATAGGATCATAACGAGCTTATATATAATTGATTATTATACAATATATAACGCACCGACACCGATACACATCAATTCCCACACACACATACACAATATACATATATTTCAAACAATATAATTCGGATTGCTGGCGTTGACGAGCGATATGCTGCAGAGACCGTTCAAGTGGTATCGCAGGCTGTTCATTTTTTTCTGGGTACGCAGCAGCACCGAGGCCAGCCTCCTGTTGTCCCTCGCCAGGATCTTGTTGTTGAGTCGCAGCTCGGCGACCTCCTGCTGCGCCTCGCTCTGCCTCTCCGACAAATACTTCACCAGGTCGTGGTTGATCGGCTCTTCCCAGCTGCGATCGGGCCAGCAGCGAGGGGATCCGCGGCGATCGGCGACGATCGGCGAAGCGTCGCGGAACGACGACGACGACGCGCCGACGAGTCGCGCCTTGTAGTAGTTGTTCCCGTCGACGCTGTCGGCCGGATGCTGCTGCTGCTGATCTCGGAGAGGTCTGGTGTCCTTCGCCGGTGAACCGGTCCAATTCCGTGGCGACGTGCGATTCTCGATGTGGCTGCGATTCGGAAACAGTCGCTCGCGATCGCAGTATTGCCTGCGCGCGTGACGGACGACGGATGCATGTAAAATCGGCGATCGTTTACTAGTATAAGTCTTTTATTTGTTTTTATTACCTGTGCCTCTTGAGACGATTCGCGTCGAGATTTCTCAACGACGACTGGCACTTGACGCAGCGCGCCGTAATCGTAACGCCGTCGTCCTCGATCTGCATGACGAAACCGGCAACTTCCCGATCGTAGAAGCTCGACGACAATTTTTTTCGATCGGCCATGCTCGCGGCATATATATAATAAAAAATATATATCTTCGATGCTATCAATTCAAAAATTAAGAGCGTCTAGGGCCAAGCGATAGACCGCGAAATATTATCTCTATACGTAAAAGCGTAGTATACACACTCGCGCGGTTTACCTTATACAACTGTCGCGCGTTATTTACATCATTTTCTTGTTCCATTGGCGATGCGTGTCGAGATGAAATTACGCGAGGGAACGTCGCGCGTGCCGATTAATCGTTAGAACGCCGTAGGATTTGGAGAATTTAATTTTCAATTTGAACTGGTGTAATTTTAATTTTTTTCATGTCGTGAAAATTTATTTACATCAGTGCATGTACAGTAACAAATAAAAGTACGGTAGAAAAAAATTACATCCTTACGATTAGCTAAGAAAGAACAATTTTTAAATACACTTTTAAAATCATTTGATTATATTAAATAATTATTATACAATTTCATAGCACAATTACAATAAAAAAGTTGTATGCCTACGAATAGCTAAGAAACAATTTTTCTTATTCAATCAACTTAATCTATGGAGACAATATTCTATTATTATGAATAATTATGATATCGAGGCCCAGAAAATGATGGCATATTATTCCGTTCAAATTGCTCATGATAATCTGTTTCTTGAAAATCTGGACTCCCCCCTCGTGATATTGTCTGTACTACAATTTGTTTTATCTCATTTATTTGATTACTCATGATTCCCCAATTTTTCTTCGCAAATTTGGTATTTGAAATGTTGTTATTGTCCATATTTCTTTCAATAGAACCCAGTTTGTCGTACATTTTTTGTTGAATTGATAGTATGTGTTCTGCCTCATTACTGCTGATCCCACTGCATTTACATTTGACTGGTTCTTCTTTTTTAATTATTTTGGGACTGGGCATCGACTTCAATTCAGCAAGTTGCTTTGCAAGATCACTATTCTGTGTTAAAAGTTTGCCGTTCTGCTCCTTCAGTTCTTGCAAAAGCTTCTTATCACTTTCATCATTCTTTTTGTGACGTTCACATTCACTGCGTAAAATATCCATAGATTTTTCCAATTTTTTGTTCAATTCTGTCAATTTTTTATTTTCGGCATAATATTTATCCGCACTTCTTGAGAGATCCGAATTTTTTTTCATTGTTTTTTCCATTTTTTGACAAATGTCTATAATTTTCTCGGAACTTTCCTGTTGTTTCGAAGTTTTTTCAAGGATCTGTTCATGCTTCTTTTCCAAAAGCTCTTTCAATGATATATTATCTTTTTCTAGCTGTTCAAGTTCAGCATCTTTTTTAGATATTTGATCTTTGAATTGTGCAATTATTTCGATTTTTTCTTGGAGTATTGTGCTTAAAGTTTCGTTGTTACTTTCCAATGCTTTGATATAATCGCTACTTTTTACAATTAAACCTTCAGGAGCATCAACCGGCGTATGAACAGGAGACCCCGTGATATCGATAATGTTGGACGACAAATCTTCTCTAGCTGGTTCAGTTTTGACATTGACTTCATCCTAAAAAATAAGTAGGGGTAAAAAAAAAATATAGTTTAATTTACATAAATTTTTCTCAGTTAATTTTTAAATTATATAGTAGTACTTACCACTTTTTTGGGAATTTTGTGAGTACTCGAGCCACTCTTATGTTGTTCTGAAAAATTAAAAATGATTAGACGTTTTCAAACATTCAAAATGCGAGATGTAGATCTAAGAAAATCAAAAACTCACTTTTCACCGTATCCGTTGTTTTCTTGACTGAGCCACTGTCACGACGTTTGTGCTCTTCTTTGTGAATTTCTTCGTCTGTTTTGCGTTTTCGACTTGGTACATGAATTGATTTCGCGAACGATTTGCTATCCTCACCTGTTAATATAGTTTTTTTAATCTTCGGTGGTTGATGTTCTTTTTTCGTCGATGTTTCATGGCTTTTTCTGCTCATAAAATTATTATAAAAAGTTATTTTCAATAAGATTAAGTCATTTACTAAAAATACAAAATAATTTCAGATAAAATTTACCTCGAATGAGTAGACATCTTTTTCGATAATTTTCTTTCTTCCGCAAGGAGATTTTAACCTGGAACTAATATTTTTAAATTAATTATATCATTAGAATTAGAGCTGGGACAATTATAGAGTTAGAACGAGGTTTTTGTTGTAGATGTGTGAAAAGAGAAATCAGAGCAAGTAGAGCCATGTACTATAAACAAATTTTAATTTCATGATCATAATTTCTCATTGTAAGCGGTTTTAATTTCGTGTGAAATTAAAATTTATTTAAATCGAAAATTTAGAAAAAGCGTTAATAAATATTTAAATTTTTTCGCCCTCGTGTCTTCGGTTTATTATATTTTCTACTCGCTATTTTTATTGAAGAACGGATATATAAAATAACAATCTCAATAAAAAATAAATTTAGTAACTTTGATACGATTAGTGCCTCGTATCGCCTGAGAGGGCCGGGCATAATGGGAGAATTCTCATGAGAACTATCATCCAAATTAACTTGATACTATGGTACTCTTTTTCTTATATGCCGGCATCTTAAGCATTAAATCAGTTTTTCATAGTGATATATGTTGAGAAGCGAGTTGCCGAGACGCTATGCTATCGTCCGATGTACACACGCGGCGAACACGCCCTTGTCGTAGTGTCCGATTCCAATCGAGAGTCGAATCGAGGCAGCGCGGTATACGTCGAGCATTCGTGTACGTGTTTCGGAGCGAGATGTCTCGTGTCAATCATGTCCATGATGCCTGCGAGACAAAGAAATAGGAGATCGCTCGCATATACCAAACGATAATGCCGCAACGTGTTCAACACACTGCCCCTCGATTCAACGTTCGAAATCGGACGCTATGGCAAATCGCAAGCGGCGCGCAATCTCTCGCTTCGACTTTTCGCGCCATATACGTACTGCGAAGTGATACGTACTCACTGCTTGTCGAGACTTCGTAACTCGTATTTTCAATTTTCGCCGAAATCGTCCCTATTTTACATTTAAAATCGAGTCAAAAGTAGCACGACCATCGAGAAGCTGTTTCAAGCAGATTCATTTTTATTTGAGTAAAAACTTATCGCTACTTACGCAAATAAGCCGCAGTTTTATTGAATAAGGGGTGGAAAAAATCCTGTTACTTAAGAATAAAGCTAAAAATTAATGCCTCGAACAGATGTGCGGCTAACAGTTCATCTTGCTATAGGACTATATCAACGCGGCCCGTTCAAGCGACTTCCGTGATAAACAGTATTCGGGGAATTTCACGAGCCGGTCTCTGTCGTCGGCTATACTGCGTTATAATTGTTTCGATGCCTCTCGCGCTCTGCTTACACGTACGTGTACATCATGAGAAAATCAGAATCATCAAAATCAGATTCATCAGAAGTATATCATCAAATGCAGAAACATTCGCCTAATATAGCACAAACAGTCGACGCTGAGCTGCCGGGTGTAAGACACCGTTTTTACGAGCTTGCTTTCGCTAGTACGTCGAATTAATTTATTTGTATAGCTATTTGAATTCACGTGTTTTTTATACTTGAGCGAAGCTCGTAAAAAAATTTCACGAAACTTTTGTGTTCCCATAAAGGAAATTTTGATTTTGTCAAAATTTACTTTTGAATCACAACTTACGTAAACGTGTTTGAATTAGACACTGCCTTCTTTTGTCGCGTTATTTCATCATGGTCCGGGATAACGTATATGAATTCCAGGTCGCAAGATGATAACAGAAAACAAATAGAGTTCGAGTAACACGTAGTACAAGATTTATCCCAAAAATGGCCATTGCAATGTCAACGAAGGATGAATGCTCTTCGTTGTAGCATCGATCGAGGTCACCCTCGGCCAAGAAACAACAATAACTATTTTCGATAGGCATTTGTTTGGCGCGTCGCGACTTGCTCATTTTGACACCATATACACGTATATCGTCTCGTTTTCAGCGTCGTTTGCCGGTTTCGACGCGTTATTGTATAATAATCTGAGTGCACTGTACTGCCAGTTGCGACTCTGCGTTTTCAATGAAACGCTACCCATTACAGGTTGATTTTTTTTCTCCTCTTTTTTTGCTAACGAGGCTCTCGCCATTTTTGTTTTACTTTCAAGAAGCCACTGATTATAAAGCAACGTTAGATGAATATAAGCCTACGTTCGAAATACTTTTTGTCGATTTTGATTTTTGCGAATACGTTTCTTATATTGAATTCAGGGTTTGCGTTTCGTGTGCAATGCGTTTCGCCATCAAATCTTTTTGATTATTTTGCAAATGCCTCAAAACAACGAATATACGTAGGGAATTCGTAGCTTAGAAGTGATGCTTTTTCCGTGATAATCACACGATTAGAAATAAATGGATAACTACCTAATCTGTGCGCTCTGCGTAGACGATTTAATTGAAACTATCACACCCTCGTGTCCTCCAGTGAAAATGAGATTCGAGTTGAATCAATGCGACAATCGCTACCGAATCACACGTTCAAACAATTAGCTCACTGTTTGAAGATGTTAGATTTTTAGAGAGAGAGAGAGAGAGCGCATATACTCGACTCGACTACGAATCTCAGGTTCACCAACGATTTGCTGCTGCTTCTGCTGCTGCTGCTGCTGCTGATGTATTGTGCGGGGATGCGACTGCCGAACGGAACTGAGATGTTGCAGCGTGTGTGGTTGAAAATCAAGTGGCCGAGTGCTCGCGCTGCCGCTTCTTTTATACGCGCTGCGCGGCTCGAGTTCGATCCGGCAGCAACGAGAAAACTGAGCGAAGAAGGGGCTCCGCCGTATGCTGGCCCTCAATAACATTTTTAGTACTGACGCGTACTTCAACATAGAGGCGACCCCTACCACATTATATTTTTAAGTTTATCTCGCTCACACAGAGTTCAATTGGAATTTCTCACCCACGGTTCGTTCGGACTTATAGAAAAATTTGATACACGGATCACGTGTTACATCGTAAATTTTAAAACGGCGTACTTTATTTCACGTGTAATTGTACTAACTCAATAGTTCAATACATTTTTTATGAATTCGACTATGATCATAAATTCGGCTATGATCGTTATCTCTAGGTATCTGTAATAAAACTTTTCCGATCAAGATCTTTACAATGTAGATCGAAAGTGAACGAGTACTTCTTGTAGATATTACGTGAAAGTTGTGAATTTTCGAATCGATGAAATTAATTTGCTAAGAGTACTAAAATTATCAATACTATTGTGTATAAATAGCATTGAATTCTTTGCTGCCATTGACTTGGAAGTGAAATTTAATGCAGTTACATTCGAGTAAATAAAATGGCTGCGCAAAAGCGATTACTTACTGCCTATAGGAAGTTGTTTTCTGCAGGACTGACTGGGAACGACTGACGAGCGATGTGCAGACACTAACTGATAGTGTATACTGAAAACTACGTCGTTGCTGTAGGGTGATGCTAGCGCTCGTCGGACGATCCATAAAATTAAAAATATTCTAGGATACAAACAGGAAGGAATTCGGGAAAAAATTTTTTCCATCTTAAATCACAAGAATTTATCTCGAAATCAAGACTGCGTGCGCGTCGATGAGAAAATCGAAAACATTGATAAAAATGTTCAACCCAGTTTTCAGATAAAGTTTTCGAAATATGCTCATTTTTATAATGATTTATGATGCAAGACATAAGTGTAATCTAACACATGCCTGCATTTGTAACAAAAGATTATCTTAGAATTTCCATGTGTTACCTCATTTTAAGATAGTGCATCCTACGTCTACGTCAATAAGTTTTGTGGAATTTAAAAAATAATAAAATAATACGTCTAGTTTCAAATTCAAACTTGTACTGTACTTTGATTTTTTTTAATTGTTAAATTATATTAGACATAACTTTAAGAAACAAAATTATTTTCTGATTTACCCAGAATGTCTAAGCCAAATCGTTTTATTATACCTCATAAATGTCTAGAAATCGGAAAAAAAAATTAACTACGATCGTACAGAAATTCGATTTTAGGCACTGTGGTGTCGCCACGTGCCGGCGCAGCCCGAATCGAGCAAATTCTCATGCCGCATGCTGTGTATGACATGTGTAGGTAATAATTTATAAGTGTGAGTAAACCGTGTGTGCGACTCTACCCATGCTCGGACGGATGTGCGGATTTGAATCTCGGCTTATGTCTCGTTTGCTCGCCCCTATTAATTAGTCAAAGATTATAAAGAGCCGCAGAATGATGTTTAAACTGTAAATTCTTCCATTTGCAGAAGTCACACGAGTACATTTCAACTTTTTTGAGTAATATCAATTTATTTTACCAAATTTAATTTTTAAATTTTATCAAAAAATGTTTGAGAGCTTGATTAAATTTGCAATTGTTCCGCCTTTCATCTCGAGTGCTTTGTTGTTAATTTTTTCGGTAAATCAATGTATTATCTTTAGTCAAAATTCGTGAGATCTTCGCCGTGCATCAAAGCATAATTGTCATGTTATCCACCACAAACTTATTAGCTGTTCAGGTATCTCAAGTTTTATCAATAGCGCGTGTTTGAGAATTAGCTTGACTCGTGTTTTTTTGAAAATCGACGACTGACGCTGAGAAATTTTTATCGATATTACGAGAACCCTTCAACACGAAGCAACGCTACTTCACTTGTTTAAAATCTACTATCTAGCAAAACACATCAGACTATCCAGATACTTATGAAATCTTTGCACATTTTACAAAAATAAATGTACAGACGAGTTTGTTGAAGAGATATAGTCGTGATATTTATCTAACAAACTATTACGATGCAACCATTGATGATAGAAAATATATTCATATAGATTTGGCCTTGTAAAGACGATCTGGTTTACTGTACTGCATTTTAATGCTTAAATTACATTATTCTTAGCTTTCAGATTGTTAAAAAAATGGGTAAAATTTAGTCGTAAAACACCTCAAACTTAATAACCCTTAGTAACACAATGTCTGCAGCCGATAATTGCAAGTGCAATGTCCGGAAAGAACTTTATTTTTATAGATCAAGTTTTACGTAGCCTTGAACTATTTTGGCCCTCTCTCGTGCTTCGTATTTTGAGGAGAGTAGAAACGAGAGATCGGCTGAGACCGGCGACCTGCGCTCGGCTATGTTGCGTGTGTGAAGCGGGCTCACTTTCACCCCGACAAATCGGTTGTCCGTTCATTGTCAGGTCGGCAGCGATTACATTGGGAAGATGTGTACAACTGTATTCATATTGCTTGCATTTTCATATATAAAGACAGAAAGAAAAAGAAGAGTAAAAAGGATTTCATATCCGAGGCAATATTTATTGTAAAAACGTTACTTACATCTTGAGTGATTTTAGTTCTACAACGCGCGTTCAGCTGAAAGCTCGGCTCGATGACTATAGGTAAGAGACAGAGAGCACTATAGGCACTTGGTGAAAAGAGAACTTCACTGTTTAGCTGCTGGAGCACGAGTAGCTTGAGAAATCTGTGTCTCGAAGATACAGCGGCTCGCTCGAGTTTCGGCTCTTAGATTTTTATTGCTTTCTGAGAGATTAGATTGGACCAATTTTCTGTAGTAGCGGCGTGATTTTAGTGTAACGTCGTGTGATGTCACTTTACTCTCTGTCTCTTTGTTCCTCCAGCCGATGTTCGTAATTACGTGTTGTATGACGTGTATGAATATTATAAATTATCGTTAAATAATGTTATTGTTTTAATTTATTGCATTGTAAAGTAAATGCTGTACTTAGCTTTCCATTGCTGTTTTGGGCGTCTCCTTCTGCTTCTCGCACACATCGACCGTTTGTTGATTTCAGATTATTTAATAATTTACTATTTATCAGAGGAAAGGTGATTTGAAAGGCGAGTGAGTAGTAGGAGATCCCTAAACATCGATTCTTATTCATTGAGTCGGACGTGAGGCATAATTATTGTTTTATACTGGATTATTTTGTTATATTAATAATACACATTCGAAACAATTAAGATCGAACATTCGAGAAGTAGTTCTATGGATTAATAATACCCTCTATTTTTTAAAGCGGTCGTAAAACAGGTGTGAAAGTCCGTACATCTATGGTCCGAGCTGTTCAATAAGTCCGCTCGAAATCGAGCGACTGGCTGCGTGTGTCGGTGGTTTTCGTAAGTGCAAGCGCTTTGAAGCTTTTTCAAATTTGGAATTTTTGTAGCCTATCTGCAGGCGACATTACACGAGTTTGAGATACGTATAGAAATTCTTTCACTACGATGAAATATCATGTGAGCAACTATTGTTACTGAAAATATTTGAAAAAATTCTTATTTTCAAAGCTCAAGCATTTATTGACAATAAGCAGGTAAAACAATATTCAGCTTTACACTATTGGCATACATCTGTCTAATGAGCACGAACTCTCATGTTAGCAACACGGCCAAGTAGAGGCGGGGGCGAGACTTTGCGGCAAGAGATAAGGAGACTATTCTACGAATATTTCTAATTCAACTTTTTTCATTATTGTCCTAATTGCACGTAAACTGACTCTGCGATGTCTCAGCAGTTTAGTATAGATCGATTTCAGCTACGCGACTCTGAGACGAGACTCTGTCAAAAGCTCGATATCGTGAAATATCGGGAGGGTTTGTTTCGATGTAAAAAAAAAATAGAAAAAAAAGTAAAAAAAAGGTCAAAAGAATGAGTATCTACGTCACGCGGGGTTCCCAGGCGGTCACCCATCCAAGTACTAACCGCGCTCAACTTTGCTTATATTCGGTGATCGGACGAGAACCGTAGTTTTCAAAGTGATATGGACGTAGACATATTACATCCCGATATCAAAGCATATAAAAAAAAGGAAGCAAATTTATTACGGTATCGGGACACAGGCAACAATGAGTAGGTAAAACAATATTCAGCTTTACACTATTGGCACACATCTGTCTAATGAGCACGAATTCTCATGTTAGCCATAAGGCCAAGTAGAGGCGGCGGCGAGACTTGCGGTAAGAGATAAGGAGCCTTCCTACGGATATTTCCAATTCAACTTTTTTCATTATTGTTCTAATTGCACGTAAAGTGGCTCTGCGATGTCTCAGCAGTTTAGTATAGATCGATTTCAGCTACGCGACTCTGAGACGAGACTCTGTCAAAAGCTCGATATCGTGAAATATCGGGAGGGTTTGTTTCGATGTAAAAATAAATAGAAAAAAAAGGTCAAAAGAAGAAGTATCTACGTCACGCGGGGTTCCCAGGCGGTCACTCATCCAAGTACTAACCGAGCTCAACTTTGCTTATATTCGGTGATCGGACGAGAACCGTAGTTTTTTTTTTTTTTGTATTAATAAATGTTTATTTATGTTCAAAAACTTTTACAATACAGCTGGTAATTAAACATTTACACAAAACCAGTACAGTTACTTTTTTTTTGACACAGAATGGCTTAACGTTAGCACTCGCTGTGATATTACATAAGACTAGGTATTACAGACATTTGACGATTTATGGTAATGTGTACATTAATAATAATAATAAGCCTCTTAGAAAAAATAACGTTACAAAAACTAAGCTTTGACGAGAACCGTAGTTTTCAAAGTGATATGGACGTAGACATGAGGTGGAAATCGAAGGACAAACAATTTCAAAAAAACTCACCCTTTTATTAAACTCTGAATGAACAATTCTGACAAGAATTGACTGAGGCCTCGTATGTCAAAAATATAATAATCGAGTTATAACTTTACGAAGACTCAATGTTTATCTTTAGCTTAGAGTATAATGGATAATCTCGCGATGTATTATTTCTGAGGAAGACTGATTATTTATTTACTTACATTTCCTTGGTGAAAATTGTACGATGTACCTTTTCCAAAATTTCAATAATCTATTTATTTATAAACTATTTATTCATTACCCACACGTGCGCAATGTATGAGGTGATAGATGATGAAGGAGATGTGTGTGATTGAAGAATATTACAAAGAGTCATCAGTACTGCTTTTACCGAGCACATCGACTCATATGATGACTTGTCAACAAATAATTGGTTCCAACGTTAAACAATCTATATAGTGGCCCTGAAAAGGGCCGTTTGTTTAGAAATTCAGCATAGAAAGTCAAATTACTTTTTGGACATTTGGTACTTAGTGACGGCTTTGGTACCTTCGCTCATGGCGTGTTTGGCCAGCTCTCCGGGCATGAGAAGTCTGACGGCCGTCTGGATCTCCATGGAGGTGATGGTCGACTTTTTGGAATAGGCAGCGAGACGCGAGGCCTCCGTGGCGATGCGCTCGAAGATGTCGAAGACCAAATTGTTCATGATGCCCATGGCCCTGGAGGAGACGCCCAGGTCGGCATGGACCTGCTTGAGGACTTTGTAGAGGTAGGTGGCGAAGCTCTGTTTGCGCGTCTTCTTCTTGGCCTTCTTGTCCTGCTTCTTCTTCGTCGCTGCCGCCGCCGCCGACTCCTTTTTGATGGACTTTCCGATCGATGACGATTTGGGGGCCATTTTCGTCTTTTTCTCTCTGAATATTCGTATCGTCAGCAAAGTCGGCGATGTAATGTACGAACACGAGGCCTGTGTACTTATTTATACGAGTGATCGTGTCGCCAATCGACTTGCGAATTATCGTCTCGGCGGGGGTAATTATCTATTTCGGGGGGTTTTTCTCGACATTCCCACTTTTCCGGACTGTGCAGACTAGTCACATGATTTTGCTACTAGTATAAAACTGATTCCGTTGGTCGGACGGGAAATATTTTTCTGCTTAGGCCGATCAAGGCCACATGTTTAACTGACGGTCATGATATTGAATTTGACACTCGTACTTTCTTAAGAATACGGGAAAATCGTCTAGAGTTCAAGGATACATCGTTACACCGTCAATAAACCAAACATCGGTTTGGTCACAGTACAGCTAGAAATAATCTAGAAATTATATTCGAGGGTCAATCGACTCGAAAACAATCTAGGTCAGCCTAGGCGTTCAAAGCGATCTTTCGATCTCGCGTCAGATATATTTAGTGGCCCTTCAAAGGACTATTTGATTTTCCTTGTCATGTTTTACATTTTTTCATTGAATGTAAAAATCAGCGTGATTTTATTGCATATCTTTAAACATGATGGTGACTCGCATGGAGTACGCGAATAAGTTCGTATCCTCGAATAATCCGACGAGATAAGCTTGGCAAGCCTCCGGCAGAGACGAGACAGAAGAGCTTTGGAATCACAAGTCGGCCTTGAAATCTTTGTCGATTTCACGCACGAGATGCTGGAATTGAACATTTGCGGATCAGCAGCTCGGTTGTGGGGCCTCTCAACTCCTCCAGGGGGTGCGGAACCATCCCATTGATCCGCCAGTGACCTTTTGCCGCTATGCTTGCGTAGAGACTTGGCTCCGGTAGATTTCGGGCTATCTGCGGCTTGATGCGGGCCATTTTCTCGCATGACGAGGCGGAGTCAACTGTATTACCGGACTTATCTACGAGGAAAACTCGTACTGATTTCCGGGATGTCATTGAAAACATCATTTGCGACCCTGTCACTTATACTCAGTACACCCAATACGGTAGCAGCCTTGGAAATTATATTAGAGATTATGTCAGAGCCTCCTCAACGAGGAAGCAATATATAAAAAATTCGCAATAATAATCACAAGTTTAAAGACCTTCAAATGTTAGCTAGATTTATTTCAACTTTCCAAGCTATGATTTTCTAATCAGATTTAAACTATTTGAAATCTCATCCGAAAACATAGTTTATAAAGAGAGATATTTTTTCAGAATTGTGCATCACCTAAATTAGAGATGAATGTGTAGCAATATTTAGAGACTCTTGATATTTTTTCGATGAAAAAATGACTGGAAGTGTCAAATATCCGATTAGGAACACATAACATACAAAGAGCCAATTGATTTTTTAAAAAGCGTATCATCTCAATAAGAGACGATTTTGTAGGCGTGTTTAAAGACTTTTCATAGACTTCCTCTTACGTTTGGTGTATGAGCACCATTAGACATCAGTACAGAATGACATACGCCCACATTCAGCGTTGTAATTACTCATTCATTTATTCTTTTATGGAAAATTATCATGAGGCTTGATTTTTCTCTATTTCAACGCGTCATCTAAATAATATATTTAGTGACAACTCAATCTGAATCAAGTGTAACTATTATATTTTTTGAATGCACAGCATAAACTTTCTCGTCGACAGGTGTTGATTTATCGATTTATTATTAAAGTTTATTTTGATGATGTTAACGAAGTGAGGATTAATTACCTCAAAAATATGATTAGGAAAACATAAGTTAGAAAGAGCTAATCATTTTTGTAGAAATGCATCATCCCCAATTAGAGTCAAATTATGTAGGCGGTTTCAGTCGACCATCTCTAAAAGTAAAAGTATCATTATGGTCCAATGGGAATCGATCCTAAACTCGACTCTTTTTCTATTCTCGACTTTTCAAAAAATACTTTGTATTTTATTTCTCTCATTAGGTCTTTTTACACTTTCAATACAAGTACATAACAAGATGAAATGTAGCTTTGATATTCAGCATTTCGATTAAAAATTTTTTGAAATAGATATCATTAAATCTATAAAACTCATAAAGCTACAATTTGTGTTGTAACTATAAGACAGAAAATTTTTGATTTTAAATATCGCTCATCACGCCTGCAGGTAAGCAATTAATCTCCTTATAATTGTTGAATTTATTTTGATAGTCTCGTTAAAATTATTATATTTTTGTCCGTCGTATTGAAAAATTCATATTATTATCGCGATTATGAGTTTTCGAAAGAATATTATTGGAAATTATGTATCAACGAATGAAACCAATAAAATTGTGTTGTAATGTTTAACGAAAAATGTATCAATGAGTGTATGAAAAGCTTGAATAATATATGAAAACAGTTGCTGAAATCTCACAAACATGAAAATTATTTAACTAAATTGTGTTGAATTTATTCTGTAAGTATAAGACGAGAAAATCTCGAATTTATTCTCGTCAATTAAGAGATGAGAACAGAATTACAGATGATACGCTATATATGAGCACTGATATAGGCTACTGATACGGCTCGCGAGCGACATCTTTACTACTGCTTTACGACTTTCACAAGTATTTTCATGTATCCATGCCGACTCGTTCTATAGTTTTCAAATTTTCAAAAAAGTGTTTTTAATGTTTTGTATCTAAAATAATTTTTCAAGAAACAACTATAAACAATACATGTCTATCTGATACGGTAGATTGATTAAAATAAAAATAATCAAATTTAGGAAGGCAGGTAAATACAAATAGATTTCTACTTGCTGCGACAATCCAAATATTGGAATTGGCTGATATCAGAGTGCATCAGTTGATAACTTTTGCAGATTTTTGCAAAACAAGTTCGAATTAAAATGTGTAATAAATAAAAAGAATAGCAATAGAATTTATAAATTAGCTCAAATTTACACTAAAGTAATTATAATCATTAGTTATAATAAATTTATCTGTGAAAATCACAATAAAAATTTTCATAGCAAGATAATTCATAACCTCTTTGACTTGCATTTTATTGTGTAATCATAACCAAACTTATCCATATGTAAATTGCATTAGACGCTAGTTAAAAAATACCATTTATACAATCCTTTTCGTATTCAAATAAAATTATTAATTATGTTTACAGGATAAAGCAAGAACCTCGTGAATTATTGGAATTTCCAAAAAATCGTGCTTGGGCGTGATCGTGACGTGAGTTATCTAAATTCTGTGAAAATATATAATCTTTCAATATGTTGTGGTGTTATTATATACTATTTTATCATTTTGCAGAATAGCGCAAGTCAACGGATTCATAATCGAGGTATACTCTCCGAATGTGATATGTCTACTAAGTTATTCATTCAAAAACATCTCAAAAGACATATTGATGTAAGGCATGAAAAGATAAAGCCTCATGAATGTGATAAATGCCATAAATCATTCGGATATAAAAATAGCCTCAAGAGGCATATTAGTGCAGTACATGACAAGTTGAAGCCTCACAAATGTGTTTTATGTCCCAAATCATTCGGAGATAGAAGCACCTTCCAAAGGCATATTAAAACGGTGCATAAAAATTTGAAGCCTTATGAATGTGTAATATGCCACAAAACATTCGGGCGGAAACATCATCTCGAGTTGCATACAAATCAAGTTCATAAAAAGTTGAAGCCTCACGAATGTGGAGTATGTCAAAAAACATTTGGACAAAAAAAAAATCTCGAAAAACATGTCGATGTGGTGCATAAAAAGTTAAAGCCTTACGAATGTGAAACATGTCACAAAACATTTACATGTAAATGGAGACTTGGAATGCATGATAACGCGGTGCATAAGAAGTTGAAACTTTATGAATGCACAATGTGTCCCAATGCATTTGGCGATAGTAGTACTCTCCGTAGACATGTGAAAACATTGCATAAAAAGTTGAAGCCATTTGAATGCGACATATGTCACAAAACATTCGGGCGGAAATATTTCGTCAAGTTACATATTAATACAGTGCACAAAAAGTTAATGTCAAAGAAGTGTAAAATAAGTCTTCAAATATTCGGACGCAAAAAAGATCTGGAGACACGTATTAATAAAGTGCATAAAAAGATAACGTCTTATGAATGTGATATTTGTAAAAAAACATTCACATTAAAACATCACCTTGAAAAGCATATTATTAAAATTCATGAAAAGTTACCCGATCGATGTGAGATATATAACGAGTCAACTGAACAAAAATATGACCTCAATATGCATGTTGATACGGTACATGAAAATTCACCATCTCTCTATGTAACAAGTACCTGTGAAAATTCTGCCGAAAGGCACGAAAGATCTACAGGGATTTTCCAGGCGTTACGCAACTTTTTTACAAAGGTCATGAATGTGATTTGTGGCAGAAAATATTCAGACTAAAAACAAGACACATGTTGAAGCACGTCTTAAAAGTCATATACAACGGAAAATATTTCAAGCCCCGTCGATACAGTAATTGTCATAAAGTAAAAAAACTGCAATCTAAAAATAGGACGTGGGAATACGTTTAAAAATGTTTACTGAACTCTTTGTTGAATTAATCGTCGTGCGACTGTTTTTTCGATATTATTTCACATAATTATGAATATACCTACTACGCATCGGCCGTAAATGAAATTGTTAAAAAAATAAATTATGTGTAGGGCTCATTTTTTATAAATATTATTTTTCAGTGTGCACGTCCGCCTATTCTCTACGGTTGTAAAGACTAATTAACTTTATGAAAATAATGAAATAAAAAATATTCCTTTTTCTTACAGATCAGTTATTTTACTATTTAATTGTTCGAAAATGGTTAATAAAAAATCCTATTCCAAGCTTTACTCCTTTTTTTGAAAAGTCATTATTAATCAGGTTTGATAGTTTGATCCTTATAGCTGATTTTGTTACAAAGTCCCGTACATAATAATAACTGTGAAATACATAGCAGTTGCATTTTATTCAACTCGTTGCAACTCTAGGATATGCGCTCGCAAACATGTATGATCTCATGTACGGCTGTGATGTGTAAAGCTCAAACTGTAGATTTGGCCTTATATTGACAAGTTTCTAAAGATGCTTCAATTTGTTCAAAACCTGAGAACCCATTACGAAGGTTCGTTTAACAATATACATATTACTGCACTAGGTCGTGCAAAATAGAAATAAAAATTTTTTAGCTTTCAGCTTTTTCAGCTTTTACAGCTTTTACAGTGTTCCTTAGACTTGTAATAAATTTCATACTCAGAGTGTAGTAGCCTGAAAATCCGTTTTTTCCGCTTTGTACATCGGCAGGGAAATAGTCACCTCCAGACCACTGGTAAAACATTTAAAATGTTTATTGGTACAATAATAATTTCGAGTGAAAACTTTTCTGAATTAAAGCGTTTATTTTATACAGTCGCAGCCCTTGAAATCCACAGGTAACGATCCTGTAGTAATAGAGCGCAGACTACGACACGGAGGTCGAGTCTCACCGACTCGCTCGGACAGATACAATAATCAAATCTTAACCATACAATCCGAGATGAACTCGAATACGCGTAAATCGATGTAGCTCCTTTTTCGCTTCTTTATTTAATGTAAACGACGCGCGAAGACATGTAGGTTGGCGTGACGCATGTTTGATAACGAGGCAGCTCCGAAGAAACAGCATAAGTGAACTGGCCTTTGGGGGGTGACACTTGATTAAGCTTTATTTGTATTTTAATCATTAATAAACATGTATATTTGATGGATAATTAACAGACTAATTATTCAGAAGTACCCCAAGTGACGAATCACCTATATTAATTTTCATTCTCCCTTTTGTTATGCAACTAGTGCAGATCGGCAAGGTATCATTCGTACACATGAAACTTGTACACGGGCATTTCTGTACACAAGTAAAATGTGTCCAATATTTCTACACATAATCGAACAATTTTTTTGTAATTCAAAAAATTTAAAAAAAGATCGTAATTCATCGTAATTAGGTATTTAAAAAAAAGTTCGATTACGTGTACAAATATTGGACACATTTTACTTGTGTACAGAAATGCCCGTGTACAAGTTTCATGTGTACGAATAATACTTTGCCGTAATGAAGGCTCAAGTAAAATTATAATTTAATTCGCATTCGACCCTCGCTGCAAAATGCATAACACGCAAACATAAGCGGCCTATCAATATATCGCAAAAATATACCACTGCTTCGTTCGAGTGCGCGTCGTTCGTAGGGCTAAAATGTACCGGACAACGCCACGCATTAATTTTAGGGCTCATCCACTCTCATACGCTGCGTTTTCGAATTATATGATGCAAAAGCGCAACGATGCATTATTGATCGTTTTGATGTAAGAGAACCATAGAAAGATGAGGCGATAATTTTTGCTACTTTTTTATCTCGTATCGCAGATACAAAATTAATTTTTTTTTTCTAGATCTTGCCTAAATTAAAAGGGGTTTTACTCTCTTATGTTAAATAATTTTTCCAGGAGCTACTGAAGATAATAGATTTTTAATCGTTACAGAGCTTTTTCTCGCCTACGCGATCGGCGCGAGATGCCTCTCCCTACTCTCCGCGGACAGCTACGCAATGCGAGAGAGTTGTCACTCCTTTTCACCCTTCACGCAGAGATTCATCAGTCCTGTTCCGAGCTTTACGCGGTAAACACAACCGATCAGTAGGCTTGGAATAAAGTTTCCTTTTCATTGCATTAATTAATCTTACATAATTGTACGCTATTTCTGAGAACAACCACTAAAAATCTTCCGGTTACATTCGAGAGATAAAATAAAAAATTTCAAAATCTCCAAACTTAGACGATCGATAAAAATTAAGTTTCTGCTTTGTGTCACGATTTAAATATTGGAATTAGTTAATATCGATTTATATACCAATCGACTGGAATTGTCGTGTTTCAAGTTCGAATCCAAATTGGCAATAAATAGCCAATAGGTATTGTGAACAATGTATCTGAAGGGGATTGGAATCGCCATGTAAATATAAACTTTTATAATAAATAATTCGTATAAATTGATCAAAGAACACTCAACAAAAAAATTTTCCAGTTTTCTCAACAATGATCCAGAATCATTTCTTAACATTTCGAAGTAATTTGAAAGTGTTCTTTAAACAATTCTTAGATATTTTTATTCAAAAAACCTTTTCACTCAAAAGGGTCACATACAAATTAAAATTATAATGACATTCGTCTTTTTCTTTCCATTGCAATTTTGAAAAAAAATTAATATTTTGATATTTCACTAAGATACAGCTTTTTTCGCTTTTTCTGGCCGTATTTTTCAAAAACACGTTAAACCAGCTAAATTTTCAGAGCGAATCGTTTGAGCTACAGTGTCCCGGTAGATATACAACTAGCGATGTACCTCGCTCGCTCGGTTTGTTAGAATTTTTAAGAGGGCAAGAAATATTAAATAAGTTTTTAGAAAATGTTATTTAAGCTAGAATATTGGATTTATAAGGTATATACCAGGTTTATATGTAACGTATATGGTGTTTACGAGGTATATACAAGGTATATAAAAGGTATTTATAGTATATATATATTTTTTTAAATCGATTCTCAAGATTTTCTGAATCGGCCAGAATTTTTGCGAGATTCCTTCAACGCGTAATATATAGATAAAATAAATAATAATTCTTTGGACGAACAGTTTATTTTGTGCTTGTTGTTATAGTCTAGTAGTATATGATTCCAATTACCTCGTCTGATGTAGTGACTTTGAGCATAGATACAGCTCAAACGATTCGCTTTGACAATAGTCATGGCAAGGAAGAGTTATCAAAATTTTTCGTGCGTTAATGTCTCCATATACTTTTACAGAATGAAGAAAAATATAATATCAACGGATCCAAATAGTACAGATCCAGAATCTGGCGAAAACCCCTTTCACCATAATTATGTAAGAATATATAATCTTCTAATATATTTTGGTGCTTGATGCTATATTATCTTTTACAGTTAGCGATTGACATCACTTATCCACTACTCATTTCGTTTTTGATGTTTGTGATTTATATTTTCTTTTTTTCAAAAAAACAACGCTAAGGTAACAAAGACATCGAATGACACCAACAAGCGGGAGCAATTCATTGGCAAACAGTTTCCTTCTAAAAATTATAATTTTTCTTACTTTTCATTGATTCATATGTGAATATAAAATTACTAATCCCTCACAATATAGACGTGAAAACTAAGCGTTTTTTCAAAATCATTATTAATCATGGATTGTAACTCTTCAATTAAAGGCCATGGGACAAAAATTATCCAACAAAAAACATTCGGACTTAGAGAAAAACGCAAGTTGAATTTTTTGCAGGATCATGAAAAGTTTGAACATTTGGAATGTAATTTATGTCACAAAACATTCGGATGAAAAAATTATCTCGAGACGCATAAAAGTATGATGGATAAATATTTAAATTGTGAAATCTGTTACGAATCATCTGAACATATTACCTATTTGTAATAATATGCATTTGGTTTAAAAAAAAATTCTCAGTTATACTGATAAACGGTTCATTATGTAAAATATTTTCTTGAGAAATTTTTTTGTTATGATGCATACCATTTAAAGATTTACTGATTTAACTTTTAGTACTTAATAAACATTTAGACGAGAACCATCACCTTAAAATAGGATGTGAACAGAGCAACGATCAAACGAAATAGTATCCGAGTATCAGATGGACAAAGACAAAAGAAAAACTTACTTATCCTACAGTGAAAACCGATCTTAATTTATTACATGAAACTTGTTTGCCAATATGATGTATACGAAAAAATTGTCTCGTAGAAATTATTATGAATGTCGTATAATCAATAAATGTGCAAAATTACTAAAATTGGAAAATGAATAAAAATTGAATTGAAAATGGAAAATTGACAATTGAAAAAAAAGTTACTATAAATGTCGTATGAATAATCAATAAATTTGCAAAATTAGTAACATTGGAAAATAAATAAAAATTGAATTGAAAATGGAAAATTAAAAATTGAAAAAAAAGTTACTATAAGTGTAGTATGTATAATCAATAAATGTGCAAAATTAATTACATTGGAAAATAAATGAAAATTGAATGGAAAATGGAAAATTGAAAAAAGAAGTTACTATAAATGTCGTATAATCAATGAATGTGTATTATTAATCAAATTAGAAAATAAATAAACTGTAATTCAACTGCATTTTCGTTTAATGAATCTTTTTCAGCCATCATGCTAATTTACTAATTATTTTTATATCAATGATAAATTCACTGAAATAAAGCCCGAAACTCGATGAAAGAATGTTTCCCCGATTTAGACTCAACCGAGAGGCGCTACCAGTCGATGATTGCACCAACGATCTTCCGCGTCTAAAACAAACGCCAACCGATTGCATTTATATTTTTCGCGTTGTTCTATCCGGAACAAGTCTCAAATAACAAAAAACTGTCGACATACTCACAATGGATGCCTGTATTTGGATAGATTTCACACTATGTTCTGAAAATATTAAATTATTTTACACTTTAAAATTTATGAAACGAATCGTTAACGATCGCAAACGAGAGCCAAGAAACGAATATAAAAAATGTGAGATTCGATTGTATAATAAGGAACGACAGTGTTTATAAGAGTCCTATGTCGCTTTATCACTCAGCTCCCAGTTGCTTTATCATATTAATATTATTTTTGATATTATTATTGAAAGTTGTGCGGCTATACCGGTAATATCGCGGCGCCAAACTTGACTCGACTTTTTGAATCTCTATCCATCTCACATCCGCTATTAGGCCGCACGATGCATTATTAAATGAGTAACTTATACCTGCAACCATTAGAAGATTTAAATAATCGTTTAAATCGCATATCAATCGTTTAAAACGTGAACAGCAGTGTATCTAGTGTGTAAACTCGAAGAAAGAAAAAAGCAGCTCACAACCGTCATTCATAAAGCCAGGTGTGTAATCTACTCGGCACGACGGAACGGAGTAAGCTGCGCTGCCGTACGGTGCTGCCGCCAGTGGCGAGTTGGCGTACAAACGGGGTGGAGGCGGCAAACGGCAACGACTCAGTGCTGGGTGAACGACTGCGACGACAACAACCGACGGCGCTGCGGCTCAGAGACGCTTGAGATTTCGGACTCCAGAGGCCGCATCGTACTCGCGGCCTATGTGTGTGTGTGTGTGTGTGTGAATAATAATAAAATAATACGGCAGTCTTTATATACTAACGAGTTAACAGGCCTCTGCCGCCGAGCAGTGCTGCTCGCCGAGCGATTGGCGTCGAGCGCCGACACTAACACCTTCGTGGTAATAATAATGCAAACGAACGCGCATATACATGTGTACGGGCTTGTCTCTCCGTGTGCATGTGCGTCATACGATTTAGTACACACGCAGCCGCATCGAGTTTAATAAAGTTTCCTTCGCCGCACGCTATACCTACATATGTATGTTTGTACGCGTAGCCCGCGCGCGTCGCCGCGGTGTTAATACGTGCAGCAGCGGAGTAGCCCGAGCAAGCAAGCAAAAGCACACGCAGCCCCTGCACAAGCCGCGCGCATATATTGGTATTATTTGTGGCTTGCTGCCCATCTCTCTAGTCTAGCCTATATAGCCTGTGTAGCAGTCGGTATATTATAAACTTGTGCGTGCCCGCGCCAGCTCTCGTCATGCGCGCGCGGTTGCATCGCATTCGCACGTAGCGAGCAGCGACGTCTCTCTTCCCTGTAGAGCCTATTATATACGTGTGTTTGTGAGGCTATATAGGTATACCGATATATATGTACACAAGTACGTACATGTGTATACACGAGGCACTGAGAAGAGCCGCAGCGCGACCAATATACAACGGTGTGTTTATATACGTGTGCGCGTGTGTATGTAAGTGCGCGCGCGCGCGCCACCGATAGATAGGTAGTGTGTTATATACACATATAACTAAGCAGTGTGTCTGCACTCTATGTCTCTCGAGTAGCAGCAGCGGCGGCGGCGAGGAAAAGTGCATGTACAATATAGATATATCATCATCATCATCATCATCGTATATACTTACACACACACACACATGCGCGCACGCACACGAGTATACGTACGGAACACAGAGAGCGCCCGAGCAGCAGCAGCAGCGAGAGAGCCGTGTGTTACTGTACTGTATACTGAAAACGACGGCGGACATCCGACGGATCGGGCTGTACAACGCGTATATAACCCATACTCCGATATATATATTCCTCTCTCTCGCTCGCGTACGTATAATACTACGCCTGAAACTCGGTGAGTTTCGACAAGCGACGGAGAGCAGCAGCAGCAGCAGCAGCAGCAGTAGTAGCATAAGCAGCAGTAGCACTAGCAGCAGCAGCAGCAGCAGCGGCTTATTGCACGACGACGATCTTGCTGTGCTGTGCCTCGATTATACATTATAATATACATGTGCTGTGAGTTTCATCGTACCACCACTACTACTACTACTGCTACTACTAGTATGTGTGTCTGTGAATAAGTAACATAGAGTCAGCAGTGTCTCTCTCGGCCTCTCGCGGTGCGCGTTATACAAGGCATATTATATACATATAAAATAAAGAGTGTGTGTCCGTGCTTCGAGAAGTATATATCCCATTATTAGTGTATCTGTGTCTCTCTCTACGCGCCGTTCGTTTTGTCTCCTCTCTCTCTCTCGTTCCTTTAACTTTTTTTGGTGCGTGTGTTACTACCGCTGCTTCTTCATCTTCTTGTTGTTGTGGTGTATGTGTGAGTGAGAGTGCAGCAGCAGCAGCAGCAGAGTATTATTACATGATATACAGTGCGAGTAGCAGCAGTTACTACTACTACTACAAGTTCAGCTCGCCCCGAGAGCTCTAGTGTATTGTAACATATATATTTTATTGCAATATCATATATATATTGATATACGTGTGCAGTGGGCAGTGAAGTGCGTGTGATCGTGTGAATATCGTCTGTGTGTTGACACTGATTTTGGTTATAAACGCATATCATCGTGTGCCATCGTCGTTCTCTCTCGTCGCTCGGATTGTGACGGATCGTACACAACTTTGTCCGACACTGCTTCGCGACAACGGCCGCGGCTGCACGGGAGGGAGCTAGGCACCTCGTTACTCGGCAACAGCAGGTAAGAATCGTCAGCCAGCTACATTGACAAAAAGAAACATCGAATTAAGCATCGATGAAGTACGATAAAATCGTCGTGTCGTGCATGTGTGTTTCTGCGAGCGCGAGTTCGGAGCCTGCATCGAGTATAAGAGAGGCTCTCGTCGTCATCCGACGGCCGACGATTCCGAGCGCAGAGGCTCTGCCTGTGCTGCCCCGTGGTGTATGTACCTATAAATGTGTGCGCGAACGCGCTCGTGTGTGTGTGTGTGTGTATTACGTCTCTGACTCTCTTTCTCTTTCTGTATTTAAGCAGCGTGTAATGCCTCGAATTAATGGGATAGAGAGGCAGCAGCGCCGGTCGCTTCTTCTAAATAATACGCCTCTCTCTCTCTCTCTCCATCGACATTTTTCCGCGACGCGTGTCATCATGGCAGTTGCCTACCGAAAAATTTATTTCATAATATTATAAATATAAAAGAATCGTGGTCTGCTGCCGAAGAATAGTCTCGATTTTAGTTGGATGGAGGCTCCCCGATAGGTATTTACAGCACTAACACACACACCAACACGGGCTCTTACGATGTGTGTTGGTATAGGCGCGAAGCAACTCCGTATCGGCGCGTGTTCGTGTGTGCGTGTGTGTGTATGTGTGAGCCGTGCGCGTGTTGTATAGAGTCCCCAGCAAAATGGCTGCCGTCGGCACATAGCGCACGGAGCACAGCACATAAGAGAGGCGAACCGAGAGTTGGCCGCGGCAATCGTAGTAGTGCATCTGTATAGACGTATACACACACACGTACACATATAGGTATAGGAGTAGTACTACTACAAGTACGCGAGGAAAGAATGAAAGAGAGAACGAGATAGACGGTCGGTCGGTCGGTCCGTTAACCTCTCTTTAGCCTAGGAGCTCGTACACATACGTACGATCGTCTCTTTCTATATAATGTATTATAAGCCTCGCAGCATCTCGTACAGCAGCAGCAGCAGCAGCAGAGGGCCTCCTTTACGCACATACACAGACAGGGATATTAAACGACGATCGCCAACCAACACAACTGTACTTTCAGCTCGTGTGTGTGTGTATACATGTGTGTGGCCTATAAAAGCGCCATCGAACGCCAACGCCGTGTTCGCTGCCGTATTAACTCGCCATCTCGCTCTTTCTCGCGCTTTTAACGTAACATACGCACACACACACACACACATGCACACAAATGTCCGTCGCGCGCGCGCGCTTCCACATACATAGCGTATAATTGTACTCGTATGTGTACACGACGATACATAAGTAATTGCACCGTTAACCGACGCTGCTCCGAACTCGTATTTATGTGCGTATATGCGTGTGTGTGCGTGCGTGTGTACACACGTAAGCGAGCACGTAAATACGACCGATACATACGACGGCAATACACATATTTTCGAGAGCTCGCGCGAATGTTAGGCGCGCCTCGCAGTGGCATCTCTCTGTCTTTTTTCCACAGAGACATATACGGCACGCACAATAATGCTTCTCGGTGTTATCTTTTTCCCGTGACTCGGCTGGTATTATTGACGCATCGTCTCGTGTACACACATATTTTATGCGGCTTATAAATGTGTGGATTTCTCGAAATGCTCACACACATGTATATATATAGAATATCCGCATGATGTACACACAGAGCAGAGCGCGCGTCATATAGCAGACCCTTTCTTTGGTTGATGCGGGAAAACCCGCATCGTCGTGCGCGCCCTTACTTATTGTCGCCCATCGTCGCTCCTATGACAAGATCATCTCTTTCCACGTCGATGGTTTTTCCCGCACACACGATGTGCATTATTACGGTGTGCAGTGATTTCATTCCCCATGCATATCGATGTTTGCGCCCGCACGCGATACTCGCAAACATTTTGAGGTTATATACGGACGATATAAACAATCGCGAGAGATTGCGCGCGTTCTCTCTCTCTCTCTCTCTCTCTTTCTTCGTTGGAATAGTAATGTGCGTAAGAGACGACGACGACTACTTATTTTATTTGCCATGCAGCAATTTTTTTTATTCTCCCTTTCTTTGTTCGTCATGGCCGTGCTTTATTTAACGCGTATATGCGTGTGTGTTTGCGAGAGGTGGGTTTTTTTTTGTCTCGAGTGAAGCCACCTCACGAAACGACGATGGTTATTATTGTTTTATAAACTCGATCGGTTTTAGGAATTTTTTTCCGAAACGTTCTCCTGGTATTTTGATTACTACCGAACGCGCGACTACTATAAGTGACTCATCGCGCGGCAGATGATGACTCATTAAAAATTCTAAAAATAAAGATCATTGTTCAAGTTCATTCTGTGTATTATTACGTCTATATAATATGAATATTATAGTGCTAGACGCAACCGCGCGTCGATTATCGCGACGACTTCATACGCTATTCTTCTTTTACGATTTTTCGTCGCTGCTCTCTCGCTGTGTATTATCTCGTGTTCGATGGACGATAATGACCGGACGACGTTCGGAGTCGATTGGCCGTTGATAAATTACATTTTATCTGAGCTCTCTGACCGGTACACTCTCTGGTGCGAACGCCTGCCACGGTGTGTTTGTAAACAAAACTTGCGCCGATCAGCTGTGCCTACATATAGATATACACTCCACGCATACACACGATCTAACGTTTTTATTATTATATTGTTGCGCGCGATCTCGCGGCACGCATCATTATGTCAGATTCATTCGCATAATTGCGCAATGATTTCGCACGTGCGTTTTTTTTCTCGATCGTCTGGTTAATCATAGGATTTCGAGAAATATTCGAAAGAACCATTTCGGAGTCGAGATATTTAGATTTGATACATTGCGTCAAGCGCGCATCGACAGGCTCCGAAAAGGTGTCGCTTCCCAAAGTTTTCACGCGATACTAGAAGCATAGAAGAGTATATATAAGCGTAGGAAATTCAGACAATTTACGTGACTCACTTGGGTATTGAACTACACACGTATCATACGAGCACGTCGTATCGCGCAAACAACGACGTCGTCTCCGCCTTCGCAGCCGCATCGCTGCCGCCGCACAGCTGCCGCGCGCGTCGCGCACATGCCCCGATATGTTGCTGCCGGCGCGAGCACGGGCCGATTCCGATCTTTCTTTATCCGTGTGTGTATGGCATTATATACTTACCTACTTACACTACTGTTGCTCCTGCCCGGTCTTATTATGTGTGTGTGTGTGTGTGTGTAAGTATACGAATACGTTTTTATATTCAGCAGACCTTGACGATTCGCTACAACGCAAACTCCTCGTGGCAAGTTTTGTGCCTCTCTCGATGCTGCTGCTGCTGCTGCTGTTGTTGTGTGCCGCGCGTGCAGTATAAATTAGCGAGGTCGAGTCCGCCGCTCGTGGCTCTTTTACTTACATATACCTTTTTTCTCTCTCTGTCTCTCTGTCTTGTTCTTTTCGTCAATTACGAGAGGATAGGTTGTAACTTTTATTTCGTTTGTTGAAATTGATACGACTGTCGTGTGTTATGCTCATACACGGATAGAAACGGAATAAGTGCTTGTGCGTACGTACACGAGGCGTTTGTGTATTTACACCGAGAAGTGACAGACATCCGGCCTTAAAAATGTGTCGAATATATAATGCGGAAAAATCGTCTCGTGCAGCAGCAGCATTTTTTCCACCCGTCTGTAAATGAAATCGTCGAATCTTTCACTTTTTTTTTCTCCTTTCCTCCGATTTATAGAAATCGTTTGAGCTGTATAAGCATCGATATACAGCCACTTGACGCCCATATAAGGAGCGCAACGAATCTCCGAACTAATTTCCTAATCGGGAGCAGGAAAAAATTGTCAAATTCCCCTCGAAACGACGACGCAACAGTGTACGTCTTTACATTTTTTTTCTCTCTACTTTTTGAATATTACGGCTCCGAACCGATGCGAAGGTACACGCGTGTAATATACGGAGAGCTCGAACGGAATGTCTCGATATCGCTCGCTCTCTCTCTCTCTCGCAGGTTACATCACAACGCACGATGTATAGGTATACGCAAGCGCGTGTGTGTGTGTGTGTGTGTGTACGATTTCTTTCCTTTCCCGCCCTTGGACGGCGCGTAATATCGCTCGCACATTCGCACGAGCCCTCGGCGCTCTCGCATGCATGAAATAATACTTTTGGGAAGTGAGCTCGAGTCGAAAGGCTCTCAGCAGCAGCAGCGGCGGCAACGCGAATGCGTGTGTGCGTATGTGTGCTATATATATATAAACATGCAGCAGTCTCTTTCTCTCTCTATTATTGGTTGAACTTAGGGTGTCAGTAAGCAGCTGCTGCTGCTGCTGCTACCTTACAACGTTAGCAGACTAACACTCGGGCACGCAAATACGCGCAGAGAGAAAGAGAGCGCAGCCGGCCCACTGCCCGGTGTACGTATGTGTGTGTATGCCCATACGTGTATATATCGTGGCCTCTTCTCCTCTCCTCGTTACTGCATGTATGCACACTCACACACACCCAAACACGGTACAGGGCGACAGACGTATTAAGGTGGCGTGCAGCAACTGCCGCCCAGAGTTGGCTGTCGGACGGACACCTTCTTCCTTCCTTTCTCCTTAGTCCTTATACGCTCTCCCATGCCTTGTGTATATAACCCAGCTCTCTTTCTTTCTCTGGATATTCCAAATGAGCGTGTGTTTGCACACGTTGTATGTGCGTTTATATACCTTGCCCTTCGTCCTTCGAATATGCACACACACATGTGCGCGCGTGAGCATGTGTGTGTGTGTGTGCTGTGCATGCGAGAGTTGCGTGTACACGTTTTTCGACTCACTTTTTAAGTTTCGGTTTTTCGCACTGACACACACACACACATTGGTCGCGATAGGCTCGTTTCCTTTGCTCCTTTTTTCGACTTCGGTATTTCTTCTCTCCGTCTTTTTCTCGCTCGCACACATCATGCGTGTATTATGCGTGCGCCTATGTGCGTGTGTGTGTGTGTGTGCATGCGAGACTGCCAAGACCAGCTTGACGAGTACACGTATA